GAATGATGATTGATTGACCAAATGAATAAATGAATGATTGATTGACCAAATGAATGAATGAATAATAGAAACAATTGAAGGGCTAATAAACCAATCGAAAGAGTGATTGATTGATTGACCAAACGAATGAGTGAATTATTAATTGAAAGATAACATATAACAATGTACAGAAGACCATGTTATGCCAACATGTTATGTCATCGTAATCGTAAATACGAACCCGAGTCTAAGGTATGTACGTATATATACAAATGTACACACACACACACACGCACACACACACACACACACACACACACACACACACACACACACATACATAAACACACATAAACACGCATATATACAGGTACATAAATAAACACACACACACACACACACACACACACGTACCTAGCTAATTAATTATGCGCTCTTCGTCATGATCTTCCGTCAAATCCCAAAACATTTGGCGAAAAAATAAAATTATGTCAAAATTAGATGAATAAACGAGAGACTAATCGATGTAAAAAGTGAATAAATAAATGAATTAATGAATGAATGAATGAACAAATGAATGAATGAATAAATGAATGAATGAATGAATGAAGGAGGAAAAATAGAAAATGGACTGAAAGAAAAAAAGCAACACCAGCTGATCTGACAGGCGGGAACTACGAAGGAATTGAACAATGGAACAAATTCGTTGCAAACAACATTTACGTTTTAAACATCAAATGTTTCCACTATTCTATTTTTTCACCATGTCGCTATCTGGTAGCAACATCATCGTCATCATCGCCATCACATCTTCATCATCATCATCATCGTCGTCATCATCATCATCATCATGCTTCAACGACGGAAGTGGGTGATGACGTTTTCGACGTGGTGCAACTACTCGCTCCCTGTTGATCCAGGGCTCGCTTGATGTACACGTTCAACAACTTTACCTGGTGTAGTGTGGTGGTCATAATTATGACGTCATTGTGTGTGTGTGTAATTATATCACGTGATTATCACGTGCGATTATCAAATAATTAACAAGTGATTATCATCATCATCATCGTATATAATTATCATATTTTAATTAAGGTGGTTAATAATTATCAGACATAAATTGACCTCATGAAATCACCAACGACATCACCGTTATCATTATCAACGTCAACGAAAACAACAATATCATTTTCATCATCATCATCATCAACAACAACACCATCACAATCATCATCATCATCATCATCAACAACAACATCATCATCATCATCACTATCAACAACAACATCATCATCACAACCATCAACGACATCACCATCAACAACATCATCATCATCCTCATCACCACCATCAATTCGGCACCTTGCTGCCATGGAGATCTTGCAGGTAGGGTCTCAACTGCTCACCGACACTCATATAAATTGACACCAGACATACAACACTCGATTTGCGTACACTGCTTTGCTGGTTTTCATAGGCCTAGGTGAGTGAGTGAGTGAATGAGTGAGTGAGTGAGTGAGTGGATGGAATGTCGGGTAGATAGATGGGTGAAAGAATGGATGAACGAATGAATGAAAGAGTGAATAAATGAATGAATAGATATAGATGAATGAATAAATGAAAAAGCGAATTGGTTGATGTTAAAAAGTCAAAACACTCTTCACCATCCTCAATTCTATGGTGATAGCTTTAACTGCAACATCAACCTCATCGTCACACTCCCATCCTTCTCCCATAACATCCCCATAGTATCATCACACCCTATCATCACCTCACCATTGCAACCCACTTCATCGGTAGGCCACACCATGACCGACCTTCAAGAGACTTGGAGTAAGATAGGGCAGCATATCGACGACAATGGACATATCGGCTTCTTCGACGATCTGATTGACCATCTTGATAGCCGCCAAGTTGATGGGATAGTCGTCTGACTCGATGAGCGGTGAGAGGATGGTGTGCGTGCGTGCCGGAGGGATGATCCGCGATAACAAACTGCTGCACTCCTCCGCTGCTCTTGTCACCTGGATCACGTGGGTGAGTGAGTGAGTGAGTGAGTGAGTAGGTGAGTGAGTAGGTGAATGAGTGAGTGGCTATCTGAATGATTAGTATGGTACTTAGTTGTTTGATTGGTTGGTTGACTGATCGATCAATTGAATGTTCTGTAAAAGAGAAGATTGACAGAGTGATTGGAACGTTCATAAATTTTATTAAATGGTTAAATGAAGAATTGATTGATTATTAAAATGGTAAAAGACAATGACCGATAATTATTCTCATCATCATCAATATCTCCATCATCATCATCCCCACCACCATCATCATCATCATCCCCATCACCATCATCATCACCTCCTTGACAGGGTCCTTATGAGCCTCGAGGGATCTCACCACAGTCAGTTCCACGTACTCCTGAAACCTCGGAGCATGACACCTCAGAAATTCAGATAGAACCCTTAAAGAGAGGGCCCTTATGCTGCCCTGTGCGTGTTGCGGTGTGTGTGTATGTGTCTGAGTAAATCTATATTGTGATGTGCTGCATACGCACGTACATACAAGGCTGCATTGATACAATAACATGCAATCGATCGACCGACTGGCCGATCGACCATCCAACCAACCAAACAACCAGCCAATCAACCGACCGACCGACCAACTCCCTCCCCACCCAGCATACGTCAACGTCAGTGAGCGTTTCCAGCAGGACGAGTAGCGTGGTATCGAAATATTCATCCCAAGTTTCCGACGTCTCCTCGCGACACTTCTTCATCAACTGCAGCAAACATGACTTCCTCTGCTCGTTTCTACGGCGATGACGTCAAATTATGATAACGTCAAATTATGATGACGTCACGATGATGCAATAAGTACAAGTACAAAGAATAATGAACAACGAATAATGAACAATCGTGAACAACAAAGAACCAACACAACAAACAACAGCTAACTAACTGTTCGTTGTGGTGTGAAAGCGTCTGGAGGATGGAAGCAACTGACATCATGGTTGTCTGGTCTGGTTCGGTTCAATCAATCGAAGATATCATTGTAATAAACATTAGCAATTGTACATAAGATGCTCTAATGACGAGTTTACCCGATGGTGGAGGTGGAGGTACTAACTGAATTACGTACTTAATGGTGAAAGTACCACTGGACTATGTACTTAATGATGGAAGTACCACTGAATATAAAGCACAACCTACCTGCAGTCTTCTCAGCTTCTTCTCTTTCTTTCTTTATGACGTTTGAAACTCCAAACTGAATTATTTTATACAAAAAATAAATAAAATTATGGCAATAAAAATATGAAGATTAACGTTAAACAGCATTAACATGGAAAAATACTCATTCAACTGAAACATTTATAGCTGTTACAATCAGAGGGCGACAACAGACAACAACCAACGCAACAAACACACGACAACAAAAAATACAGCCACGATGAAACCCGTCAACGACATATCACACACAAACAAAAATTTTTCCCAACGCATGTACACCATCCCCAAGACAACAACAAACCACAACAACACGATGACCAACACAACACAACAACAAGATGACCAACAACAGCGCAACACAACAACACGATGACCAACAGCAACAACACGATGACCAACAACAACAGCAACAACAACAAGAAACAAACCCAGCTCTGTATGGCTCCATTGCATTCACGTCCGTCCCTTCCACCGCCCGTCGCCAGCTTCGCCACGATGTCAACATCTGGAAGGTTCTGGAGGAATGAAGGAATTCGGCTTTCGATGGAGAGAGTGGTGGGCAGGGTGCGAGTGCTCGCTAGGCTGATGGACTTTACGGGGAGATGATGATGCTGGTGGTGAGAGGAGTGAGGGTGGTGGACGAATGAGTGGATGTCCTGCGAGGTCTGACGGATGGAATTGTAGACGTCGTCTGCGTTCATCGCTGTCGCCGTGGTTGTCGTTAAGGTTGACGATGATGTCGTGGAAGATGAGGCGGCGTTTGTTGCTGCTATCAGCTGGGGCTGTTGTCTGCGAGTTTCAAATCAATCAATCAATCAACCAATCAATCAACCAATCATTAAGCCTGAGAAAAATGAGGACGAACTCAAACCTCAAACATGGATGAACATAAACACAGATGAACGTGGATGAACAATGAAAACAAACATATACGTACACGAAATCTGACCATAAAATAAACAAAAACCCAGCAAACAACAAACAAATGATGAATGGGGTAACGACTATTCACATTGACAACATGGCAACGACTTGCTGCATACACTAACTAACCCAGCAACAATGGGCGATGATGAAAAGTTGAACCCACTACCACCACCACCACCACCACTTCCGCCAGACACCGGACTCAGTGGATCCTTCAATGACTGGGACTCGCTCGAATGTCCGGAGTGTGGATGATGATGATGGTGACGACTCTGTAGAATTCTTTCAGCTCCTTCCTAATATTTCAATCATCGCAATGAAGAACATCCACAGCCGCGTTCGTAATAAAGCACCGTCACTACCATCAGATAAGTTGCGACATCGTAGGAGGTCATTCATTCATCATCATCGCGTCTGGCGTTCGAATGCAGCATGCGCCAGGTTCAAATACAGTCACAAATCTACATACAACGAATGCATTCAGGTACGTCGTGTGGTGCCGACCGAAGAAAGCTTTTGCGAAACAAACATTCAACTGGCAGTGCAGCTAAGTAAGCTACTCAATGATTGTCTGCCGAGCCTAATAAAAAAAATCAGCTTTTTTTTATTAGCGCTACCACCACCATCATCATCATTATTATTGTTATCATTTTCATTATTGTTATAATAATTGTTATCATCCTTCAAACTACGGTCGTCACCTGGAAAGTCTTAGGAAGGACAGACATGATGACTTGGAACTCCATGGGGTTGAGAGAGTGCAGGGAGAGCAGAACTGCTTGAGATGCCTGTCACGGTGGGTCAGTGAGTGAGTGAGTGAATGAGTGAGTGAAAAGATAACACATCGAGTGAATGTATGAAGAAAGTAATGATTTATTTTACCACCATCGTCACAGTCATCATCATCATCATCATCATCATCATCATACCTTCCTGACGTCAACACTCTTCGGCTCAGTAGTCCACGTGATGATCCTCGATATTGCTAGCCTAACATCACTCGTGTTGCAAAAATCAGGTGCATCCATTAATTGGGTCAGGTTATGCAAGTATAACAACATCGAAACTTTGACCTATATTCGTGTTTTTTGATTGGTTGATATACGTAAGAACGAAATTGCATCGAAACAGACATATCACAACCATCCTTTAATAACCATTCAACAGTTGCATCTAATCAGTCAAGGATAACTAACTATAAATTGCAAGGCAGTATAAGTTCAATAACAATGAAAGAAGAATGAACTTCTCAAATTTCATTCACAAAAACTCAAATTCAATAAAACATATTAAATTCCAAAAAAATAAGAAAAAATAGCAAATGAAAAAATGGTAAAACTAGAAGGTATAAGCATGCACGCATAATTAAATACGTCTTTTATGGTAGGATTGGAAAAATAAATAAAATAAATAAATGAATGAAAGAATGAATGAATGAACAAAGTAACTAATGAATGAATCAATCAGTGAACTGAAATGTCAACTTAAATGAAACAAGATATGAAATAATTGAACTGAAAGTGTCAAAGTATTAATATTAAAAAGCCATGAGGTCTGCGTATGCTCCTAACTAAATTATAAAAACTTGAGATAACTTACGACGAGTTACGACAGCTTGCGACAACTTACGATGAAATGAAACCATTATATTATAAATGAATTAATACATTACTACGAATTAAAACCATTGGGACAAACAACGACAATTCAACAAAAACTGACGACAGATTGCATGCAACCTTAGTTAGACGCATCACAATTTTATGTAAATTTTAAGAAGGAAACTTTGATGAAGGCTCAAAGTTCCCTTAATTCGCTTTGATACTTATTTACTTGGCTGCTGAACAACTTTGCAAGTATTTTTAAAGGACATATTTAATCTGTTTAGTTGATATAAAACTTTCTAAAGATCTCCATTGAAACAGTTTATATAAGCTACTTGAAATTTATCCGTGATTATGTTGGCAACAATTTACAATCACTTTGAGATGCCTTACGCTCGTTGTTGGCGTTATGTCATAAATGTTGATGTTATAATTGTTGATGCTATAATTGTTGATGTTACAATTGTTGATGTTATAAATGTTGATGTTACAATTGATGATATTACGACTGTTAACGTTATATTAATGTTACAATCGCCCATACGCAGACCTCGTAGAAGCTCCCGTAAGAGGGAAAAACGAAAGATGCACGAAATAAAAAAGGAAAGTAAAACTAAGTTGCAGATTATTCAGCGATCACCTTTTCCTGTAAAATGCACACATGTAATGAAGTTTGTATTTGTCAACTGATGAAGTTATTAAACTTTATGAATGAATGAATGAATGAATGAATGAACGAATGAATGAAACGTATGGTCTCAGACAAGTACTGCTATTGTAAATATAGATGGGAAAAAATCATTATTTTATATCGAACTAATTAATAAATTAGACATAAAAAACAAGACCACAAAATCATTATAGTACATCATAATCGCTATCACCATCTTCAACTGTATCATTTTTACCCTCATCATCCTCATCGTTGTCGTCGTCATCATCATCATTCTTTCTCTTCCTTTCACAAATAAACATACCTTGATGTTGGGCGACTGAGTTTGATCGATGAGAAATTTACAAAGAAGCGTGAACTGCTGACTAGTAGAGAATGTAGTTCTCACGGCATCGAGCGCTTTCTGAACTTTGACCTGCGTTGACCCGAGAAGATCTGACCCAGATTTGGAGAGCAGCCTGGTTAGGAGGACGTAGAGCCAGTCGGAAAGTTGTGAGTAGTAGGTGTTGATGAAGAGGATGAGACTGTCAAGAAAGACGCTGAAGACCTTTCCGTGTGGATCGTGGAACATTCTAGAGAAGATGTCTGTCACTCTCTTTACTTCCAGACGACTGATCACGTGACGACGACGATGATGATGATGAGAATGATGTGGACGTGTGTGTGTGTGTGTGTGCGTGTGTGTGTGTGTGATGAAATAAATGAACATGATTGTAATGAGAAAGATATTTGATAAGGATCTGTAGTTAAAATTTACGAAGGGATTTGCAATAAAAATGGTAAATAACAAATAATAATATGAAAAACATGAATTCGAAGACGGAGATAATGACATGTATGGAAGAAACAACAATAATCATAGCATCAATGACAACAACAAATGCAACAACAACATTAAAGGTAGTAGCAACAACAACAACAACAACAAATGCAACAACAACAAGATAGGTAGTAGCAACAACAACGACAGCAGCTACCTCAAACTCCTGTTGTTGTTGATGAGATGTTGTAATGCGATGAGTCCGTCCCTTCGATCAGACCACGATCCGCTCGACAAACAATTTATTATATCTGATGGCTCCTACGAAAAAATTTATTATAATTTAATACTGATCAATTACAATTAATTATTATTAATTGAAATAAATTGAAATTACATAATAAGACGTCTAAGAGCTAATGAGGTTGCGAAGTGAGGAATAAAGCACAATGCAAAAAAAATCTCCGCCTATCGCAAGCATCAATGCATGTTAATTCACATTCATTCTTTCATTTATTGATATTAGTTCATCCATCCATCCATTCATTCATTTATCCATTCATTCATTCATCCATCCATTCATTCATCCATCCATTCATTCATTCATTCATCCATCCATTCATTCATTCATTCATTCATTCATTCATTCATTCATTTATTCATTCATTCATTTATTCATTCATTCATTCGTTCATTCATTCATTCATTCATTCGTCCATTCATTCACGCATTCATCCATTTATTCCTCCATTCATTAAATGAATAATTAACCAATTAATTAAAAATGTAAGAGTTCTCTGACCTCGACGACTTGCCTGGCAGCATTCCAGTAGCTGCTGCCTTCTGAACACACACTGGATGTCTCGCTATTGTTATCATCGTTATCATGGGACGATGACGACGCCTTGAAGCGTGACGACTGTATTCACCATGATGATGATAATGATATGACGATGGTGATGATGACGACTGTATTCATCATGATGATGATAATGATGTGATGATGATGACGATGACGACTGTATTCACCATGATGATGATAATGATGTGATGATGATGACGATGATGGTGATTATGTTTTGGTGGTAACGAAGACGGAGAAGATATTGTAATTATAATTGTAATTATAAGGTTCAGTTGACTTTAAACATTATTAAAAACTTTCCTAGCATCACTTCTACCTACCGACATCAATATTAATGGATAGTTTATAATATAATACAACGAATTCTCAATTCATGTATGGGACTCAATTCATGCATCATTATCATCGTTTTAATCAATTCATCGTCTTCATCATCATCGCAATCAACCTTTTTACTCATCATAGTCATCCTAGCCATCATCATCATCGTCGTCGTCGTCATCATAGCTCACCAAAAAATCCTCTCCAGGCGTGGATCTCAGCATTCCAACACTGGCTCCGCTTGCAGTTGAACCACCTCCTCCGGCACTCAACTTGCTTCGACTTCTCACTGAGCCAGCACTCTGCTGGCCAGCTACTGTGCGTCGTTCTCTGCCTGTTCGTGATGTTGACGACGACGATGAAGATGACGACGGTGATGATGGAGATGACAACGATGATGAAGATGACGATTATAATGATGAAAATGACGATTATGATGATGAAGTTAACGACAAAATAGTTCATCAGCACAACCGCAACTGTAACAGTAGCATGAATAGTAACAAGGGTGGAATTAATACAACAATGTAAAATCAAAACAAATACTAACGATACAAACAACAACAAACCAAACAGCAAGAACAATAGCAACTAACCAGAAGCATAACTCCTGTTAGGACTTGAGTCTCTACTACTATCTCTGCTTCTGTTGCTGCTGTTGCTGTTGAGTGTGGTCGTCGATCGTCTGCGGCTGTTGACGTAGTTGTTGAAGGTTGGAGTGGCCGTTGGCACGACGTCCGGCTGGATGGGAGTGATGTAACTGAGGCGTGGCGACGGAGAGTTCGATCGACTGGTTGCTGTTCGGTTGGTTTCGACGTGAAGTAACAACATTACTGGGAATCATTACGATTGCATCATTTACACCCCAGAAAGAAAGTAAAAGTGAAACGTACGCTGGGATTGTGAGACTCCAATTTTACTCTTGGACCTCCCTCTGTCAATCATGCTGTTGTTGACGGACGATGCGTAGCCAGAAGATGTCGTGGAGGTGGGTGTGGGTAGGTTGGACATCGGCTTGCCAGACGCTGTCTTCCTTGATCGAGCTATCATCATCAATGCATACATTACACTTTTACGTCAGACAGGCAAGTTAAATTAAGACTGTATTAAAATGAACCTCGCGAGCGTATAAAAATAACTTAATAAGAAATTATCGATTGAATATTGAAGACAAATTAAACAGATGAAGAAATGACAGGTAAACAAAACCACTGAGTCTATAGTGATAAATTTAAATAAGTGGAAATAAAAGAATTGTGAAGTATTATTGAAACGAGAATTCTATCAATTTAATTATTTCATATAATATAAAAATTATAAAAAACATAAAAATAAAATTACTGAAAAAATAAAAAATTAATATGAACAAAAATTCATAACAGTTTTACACACACACAAAAAAAGAAAAAGTCACGAGAAACTCTGATTAGAGCCAAACTTAACAAACCTAACATAGAAACCCATGCAATAAATTAAACATTTATCTAACAGTAAGTGTCTTATTTATGTTCTGAAGTTAAAAATGAATCAATACATGCTGAGCACATTCCAGTTCGTTCGTTTGTAATGCTGGTGCTGTGAATTTGTGCGTATGTACGTTGCACGCAGAAAGGAGATATGTAGATACGCGTGTATATACGCGCACACAACACATATATACGTGAAAATATTTGCTATTAGTAGTGCGTTTACGTACATATTAATACACACATAGATCCTGCGTTTATAAATCGATAATATCATGCAGTTTGTGCTTGCGTGTGCGTGCGTGCGTGTGCGCATCGTGGAAAGCTTCCCAGCTGCGTGAACACTTTCGTCCGTGAGAAACTTTAAAAATATGCTTCTTATTTGTAAATATGATGTATTGCATATATGCTTGTGTTTTCATTTGTATGTGTGTGTGTGTACGCTTGTGTTGTTGTTGTGTGATTATATCGGACGTTGCATTAGACGACCTATCTTAAGGGAAGCGGAGAGTGTTTGCTCATCGCAACTTGTTGTTAGGGAGCTGTTGGTCATCGAGTTGCTGGCCTGGCTGTGTTTCGATGACGATGACATTGAAGAATAACCAGAAGACTTGCCTAAGTCATTCATTGTTGTTGTTGTTGTTGTGTTCATGTTTTTATAACGAAAGTTATGTTGATGTCACGTTTTGCCAATTTGTTTTGAGACAATTGTTGATGTGTATGACATAATTGCAGCAGCAATTGTCATGATTAGTTAATTCGTATGATCCAATTTGTTAAGTAACATGCACATTACGATGTTCGTGAAGTTATGAAGACCATCCGCGCCACCAGCGAGCGTGAAGGAATGAATATTATTCATTAAATTATTTCTTCAGCATGTCATTCATCATCGCCACCATCTTAACGTTCGTTTGTCATCACAATGTTACAATTTCCACAATAATACAATCTCAAATGTATACATTCTATTTCATCTCAGAATGAATCTAGAAACTAGCACAACAACACACAAATTTGTACATGCGTTAAAATAAATATAAATTGTCTAAAAGTAATAAATACATTTAAAAAAATAAAAATTCGACATACGTAATGTTCCATAAATAGCTTGTTGTGATCTATTTATAGATCCGCCACCAATGCCGATCTTGCACATCTTGTCAGACAGCGAGGACAGGTCAAGGTCACTCGTGGCATGACCTTTAAAATTATGACGTCACAAAATTATAATAAATTACGCTGTAATATGAAACAAAATCGAAAATGTACGTACCGTTTCGTTCCTTTGTAACTTTACGTCTGTTCAAATTTTTCGAGTTTAATTAGTTTAATTAAATTTAAACTAAGATCAATCACTTTATTAATGAATTAATTAAAAAATGAATTATTTAATTAATCACTTACTCAATATTTTAATCGTAGTCGAATAAACATCTAACCCATATCCAGAACTGACAATGTTTGCTTTCTCCTGGTTGGCCGATGCCCCACTAAATCTCCTCCCACTCTTGGCCGCAGAAGCCGACTTATTGGCTGGAGGTTTGGCAGGTTCATTTAAATCAACCAATGAAGACGAAGATGACGTGGCTTGGGCCTCTCCCATTAGTTGTTTCTGTTTTGAAGCCTCCAACGACGAAAGTAATGCATCGGCGTGCAGTTTGAAATTTTCAGAAAAACTCCAGAATGCTCTGTTCACGTTTGTAGCAGTGGTCATAGTTTTAGATAAACCATCATCATCATCATCATCATCATCCACATCATTATCATCATGACGGGAACCTTCTGGAATGCATCCTGGCTTCGGAGTCAGCGTCACTAATACCCTTTTTGATGAAATCCTGAGTGACTGGCAGCTGCTTCTCGATAATTGCTGGAGACCACGTTTGTAAGATGTCGTTCATGAACTCGCACGTCTGTCTGTTGTCGTTTTGTGGTTATTGTGGTTTATGCAGTTGGTCTAGTTGTGGTTGTGTGTAGTTGTTGTCGCTGTGGTTGTAATTTGTTGTGGTTGCTATTTTTGTTTCAATATGAGAATTAACTTCAATTAACTTTTTTTTAAATGTGAAAAAAATTGACTCCTAACTTTCTGATGGTGTTCGACTTTGAAGACAAGTTGGAAGCAACGATTGGGATTAACTTGTGGTTCTGCGTGTTCTGTTTTGTTCAATCAAAACGCATGCATTCAATAAATTTGCCTAATTTTTTCAAAATCAGTAACAACATTTTTTTAGATGTAATTTACACGTTGATATAATCCACCATTCATCACATGATAAAAAGATATTCATTTTAAAATTTTATAACCAAATCAAGAAATGATTAATAATAAACAATCATAATTAAACACCAAATAAATTAATTACTTAGTGAATTAATCAACTAATTAATATAATTATAATAATTTATGATAAAAAATTATTTTAAAATATCTCACCTTCAAAACAAACTTGATGGCAACGGTGGCAGACGTAGCCATGACTCGAGCCGAGTTAGGAATCAGTGCAAAGAGTGGTGGAAGGATTGTCTCGGCGAAGTGTCCAAAATCTTTCGTCAGTTCTTGGGATAGGAAACTATTGAAGTGAAGGAAATACAAACGATACGATACGATACGATAGTTGATAGTAGAGCTACAACAGATTATTATTATTACTATCATCATGATCATCATTATTATTATTATTATTATTATTGTTGTTGTTGTTGTTAATGTTGTTGTTGTCACTATTAATTCTATTTCAATAAATGAGTCGACGCATCAAACAGAATGTATGTCTCATTGCATTCGATCCCGATCACTGCAACATCAGTGCCAGGCATCTTAACCGTTACACCAGCGCACCTGATGGAAAAACTAACGCAATAGTGATGCAAGCTTCCCTGACGACTTGAGATCTTAAATCCTTAACAGACGCCTGGAACAAAGGTTCATAGGTCACGAGGTTAGACAGGAATTCTGTACCAGCTTTCACGTCGTAGTTGCACGATGACGATGCAGATGATGCTACTGATGATGATGTGGCAGTTGATGACGTCAGTAACCAGGCTCTTATTTCTTTCAGCTTAATTTGTAAATGGAATGTGGGAAGGAATTTTATGTAAGATAGAGAGAATGGGGTAGGACAATCAATGATTAAATGGTAATGATGAAGATGATAATGAAAATGATGCGGAAAATAATGACGGTAACAAATAAGATGAAACGATTATGAAGTTGATTACAACAAAAAATGAAAAAAAACGCGGATTGTAACGACAACGACCACCAACGACCTCTCGCAATAACACGGCGACGAATGCTAACAACGATAAGGATTCAAGATGGCAATAATAACGACACCAAATATACCCACAGCGTCAACTCTCTTGCTCCAGTCAACGTTATGGTCACTCAATGTGTCCTTCACCTTGGTCATTCGGTCGACAAAATCTTTAGAGGTATATATCTATTGTGTTAATAAGGTTAAAAAGGTTAAAGATAAAAAGATTAAAGGTCATACTCTTTTAATAAATTATCAAAAGTATCAACAACGGCAACTGGAATATGATAGCCGGAGATAACCAGGCGATCGGAAATAGTACCAGGCGCCTCTAGCAATTTTTCATGAATGACGATAAAGGTGGATAACAAAATGTGAAAGTGATGACCAATCACGATAAGAATCATCAACACAATGATATCTTTAGTTATCAACAACGATGATGATGATGGTGATGAATGATGGAAGGGATGATGATGAATGAGTAGAAAGTTGCTAACGTTGATTTTTGGGACTTGTGTGAACTGCTTAACGAAAGCGTCCTCATCAATGCCGATCGGATTGGCTTTCAAAAACAGATGAATAAATAAAATAAATAAACAAACAAACGAACGAACGAACAAACAAACAAATAAATAAAAAAATTATAAAACCAACACACACACGCACGCACGCACACACATGCACGCACGCACGTTACAGCAATTTACTAACAGCTTCCTAATGACATTTTCCTGTCTAACCCTGGGAAACAATGCAAAATATAAAAATCATTATTACAATCCTGTGATATCAAAATCATCATCATTAATTCTTACCATGGCTACTTTATTATTACCTTTTCAATCATGGCCATTTTTATTACTATTTAAATTTATCGCTATTATCACCAGTATTACCATCATCATCATCAACACCACCATTATCATCACCATCACCTGCAATCTCATCGTCATCGTCCTCATCATCACAATCATGGCGATAATAAGTAACTGACCAGACGATGATGATGACGACGCGTACTGTCTCTTTGGTGTTGTACTTACAGATGAAGTTGCAGAATGTGGCTGCTGTTGCTGCTGCTGCTCCTCCAGCACCAACGATGATGCTGATGATGATGCCAGTGGCGATGCCGACGACGACGCTTTGTCCAGTTCATCTTCACTTTTCCTTATTCCTTATATATACAAAGCAAACATATACAATACAATGGTGGTATAAATCATTATGATCCTAACATACACAACCAAAAATGTTTGACATAAAACTGATGATGACGATAATCGTTACGGTGAAACCGAGATAACAAAATACATGATAACAGATATTAAGATATTAATAATAGAAAAATATTTGGAACAGTGGAGGAGACGTGGATAAGAATAAAAATTAGGTCACTTCAGCGTTCATTAGGCATGTTCTTCGTTCGTTCGTTCGTTCGTTCATTCATTCATTCATTCATACGTTCGTTCATTCATTCGTACCCTAATTTATGTATTAATTAATTAATTCATTCCCTTATCCATCCCTTCATTCTTACATTCATTTCAAAGAAGCCCATCAAAGAGATACATGAATTACACACATACAAAACATGCATACGTACATAGATCCATAGCATATATTAGATACACTAGATAGAGCCTTCTAATAATGACTTTGATAATCTTTTTCACAGATCTCACGTATGAAGATAGATAAATAATTTCATCGCATATACACAGCACAACATAACCAACACCATCAACTTTATAAAGTAATACGAACATACGGGTATTTATGAATATATAATTGTTTGTACGTACATGTTTTTACAAATGAGTTTACATATATGTACAATTGTACACACAAATAATTGCATCGCTTGTAAATAAAACTTTAAAAATGTGTATGTTGCAGAAGTACAAACATACGCAAACAAAGAAAACAAAACAAAGATCTGGAACAAAAACTGAAAAAAATGCAGTTATCAGCTGGAGCATATCTTTCAACAGTTAAATCTCAAAAATAAAATGATCCACAACAGATCTTCAAACGTTAGAAACAATTTCAAAACTTTCATCAATCTCGAGGCGCCCTTCCTAGCAAGTAACACACACAAACATTCATACATGGACACAAAAATGAACGAAAACATGCACCCGTACAAATATAAATATATCTACACATACAAACACACAGAAACAAAAACAAGCATGTTAATATACGAACTTCTACAAACATAAAAATGTAGACAAACATGCAGACAAACACTCCACAAACCTACATACCTAAAATACGCCAACGAAAGCATAAATACAAATTAACAGCATACATACGTGATTATGCACATAAAATATATAGTAGGTGAAACTAAATACACGTACACATACAAAAATATACGCCACACTTACACAATGTATATAAAGACTTGTACGTAGTGTAGATACAAATTATTTGAGATGCTTCAGCTAGCCGACCAGCCATGCTTTAAATCACGACCACTGAACATTAAAAATGACCATTTCATTTTAATCTGCTTAAACAACAATTTCTGCGTCATGCATGAAGCACTTCTCAGATATAAAAATGTAAAAGTAATCAATAAAAAACCTGTACCATGTACGAAAGATCTCAAATTAAAAGATATTAAACTTAGTTCCAAATAAGAAAGGAAACTTTTGAAACCAAAAAAGATTTAGTAGCCTACAAAGACGACTGGAATGTATAAATAGACAGATAAGCGGATTGATTGACTGATGAAGACTGCCAATAATTGCATCGTTAAGTAGGAAGGAAGTGGATTATACGTCTGCTGTTATACAGAATTTTTTTAATGTTTACACCTGGATTTGCTGACAAAAAATTTTGTGTGTATGTGTGTGTGTGTGTGTAAATGAGTATAAGCATAAGTCATAATCAGCATGTAAACAGTAAAGACAATTGTCTCATTATGTAACGGCCAAATCACCTGATTTAATTCTACCTCTGGTACCAGCGATGGTGTTAAATTTGTTGTTGCTGTTCATCAGGATGACGTCAACCTTACAACCACCATTATTTATATTTAGTTTTTCGACTTGTTTACATTTGTACGCGTCAATGAGATGTCGAACTTTTTTGTTGCTACAAGAATTTAATGATAATTTCGATGATAATGATGGCGTTATTAATGGTGATGATGACGACGACGGAGTTGCTAACAACGACGAAGACGACGACGATGATTGCTTCAACCAAGATATAAGAGACGTATTCATGCTATTGTTTTTTGTTGCGTTTGGTGTTGTTGTTTGTTCATTTAATCTGTTCCTTCTTGGTAATGTACTGAATATATGGGTGTTCCTGTTGATGTCATTGCTATTGTTGTTATTGCCGTTGTTGTTGTTACTGGTGCTATAAAATGAACGACTCAGTGTATTGTTATTATAGCTATTTTTAACACCACCATTAGGATTATTATTACAAATATTATTATACTTATTAATATTCTTATTAATGTTATTATTATTATTATTATTTATTATTATGTTACTTTTGACGTTGTTATTGTGTTTTTGGCGGACAGAATCATCCCTATCGAAATCATAATTCAAATTATAGTTAGCGAGATAGTTTTCATCATAATTATCATCGTAGCATTTATTATAAGCCTCTAGGGTAAAGTAATTACTTTGGCCATTATTATTATTATTGTTATTATTATTGTTATTATTGTTGTTATTATTGTTGTTGTTATTTTTATTATTATAAATACATACGTTATTTAATGTATTGGCAGTATAGTCTTTACAAAGGGCGGAGTTATTATCACTAGCTAGATTTCTAGAATTTATGTTATCGTAACCACAGAACACGTTGGCGTTGTTGTTGCTGTTGTTGTTGCTATTATTATTATGACTATTTGTATTGTTGTTAATATTATTGTTGTTGTTGCTGAGTCGTTGATAATTTTTGATGTAACTGCTGTTACTGTTAATGTAATCAAGACTGTTGATGCTAATATTGTTATAGTAGTAATGGTTAGTAATGTTATTATTATTATAATTGTTGTTGTTGTTGCTAAAACTGTTAATAGAGCTATCCATAATATCAACATTTCTTTGTATAACATCCCACCTTAGCTGATTAAATAATCGTTGGTTTAAGAGTTTGTAATCGTCTAAACATAAACTAGTCGATGATGTTGTTGTAGCTGACGTTGTTGCTGTAGCTGATGTTGTTGTTGTAGCTGTTGTAGTTGTAGTAGTTGTTGTTAATAATGTTGTTGGTTCTTTTAAAGAAGATGAACACTTTATTGAAGCCGCTAGTGTGGTTGTTGTAAGTGTCGTTGCTGCTGTTGCGGATGTTTTATTTTTCGCGAATGTTCTAGATGTTGTTGAAGAAGTTGAGTTTGTTGTTGATGTCATCGATGACGTTGTTGTTGTTGTTGTTGTTTTATAGCCGATATTTAAATCTACCAGACCATCGTCGTCACAATTATATATGACGGTACCGTTAGATTTTGTTCTGAAGTTACTTCGTAAGAGGGTAGAATTTGAAAGAGCCTTGTCCATATCATCATCATCGTTTCTGTAACTATCAACATCACCTTGATTGCCACCATTATCATCTACGTCATCATCCTCGTCGTCGTCCTCGTCATTATTTTTGTTACGATCACTCCCTGAACGTCTTTTCGTTGTCTTCGTTAAACTTTTACTAGAAACGTCATACTGGTAATTATTATTCATATTATTATTCTCACTGCTCTTATTGCTTTTTTCACTTTGACTGTTATAAGAATTCGTAGCCCCTTGGATGTCATTAGTGTTGTGCAATTGATGATAGCGATTATTATTATAATTATTATTGTTATTATTATTATTAATGTTATTATTATTCACATGATCGGATCTAAAGTTGAAAGTACGTTGAGATGCATCTAGCACATCCTGACGATCATTCGGATATGCAGCCGAGGTAGTACGCAACGACGACGACGATGATGATGATGATGAAGATGTTGATAACGATACAGATAATAACGGTGATGATAGTGATGATGACGATAATGACGGTGCCCAAATTACATTTAAATTATTATCTAAATTTATAATATTCACATTACTACTACTACTATTATTATTAGTAGTATTACTATTATTACTATTATCATTATTATTATTATTATCATTATTATTATTATTATTAGCATAATTTAAAATTATTTTTCCCAAGTTATCAGCTGTAGCAACGACAGCCTTATCAGTAGAGACATCATTAGCGCTATTATTATTTTCATCACTATCTGTTATCAATGCTTTAACGCTATTTATCACTTTGTTGCCTTTGTTGTTGCAGCTGTTGATGTCGTTGTTTTTAAAGTTTTCGTTGCTGTTGTTTTTGTTCTTATTGTTTACGTTAGTTCTACAAACATCAAAATGATTATTTATATAGCAGTTATTATTATTATCATCATCATCGTTGTTGTTTTTCTTATGATTATATAAGTAATAACAATCTCCATCATCATCATCGTCGTCGTCGTCATCATCTTGGTAGGTTAAATTACTGCAGTTGTAGGTCCAGTTAGGAGCAGAGAGTTGTGAATCATCTAATTTACCGTAGTTTGAATCTAACTGGTTGTTAGGCGATTTCATGCTTTTGTTGTTATTATTAATGATGTTTGTAGTGTTTACATTGTTGTTGTTATTGTCACCATCTACGTTATGTGAGTTGTGAAAGTTAATCTTATTGAAATTGTTAGTGTAATAATTATAGATGTTATTAGCGTTATAACCGCTACTATCAATGCTGTTGTTACTATCATAGTTGTTGGTATCGTTGCTGGCATTAATACTGTTGTAAATCTTGTTAATGTTATTGATGTCATTTATAGTTTTATTGTTGTTAGTGACATTGTTGTTGTTGATAATATCGTAATTGCTGTTGGCATTATTAGTGTCATAAATGTTATTGGTGATGTTGCTGTACGAGTTGTTGTTGATGTTATTAGTAGTTGTTTTATGGTTATTAATGTTGTTGTCGATAATCGCACTGTTGTTGTTGTTGAGGTAGTTAATGTTCGTGTTGTTTTTATCATCATTATTATTGTCAGTAGAATGTTTGCTATTATCATTGGTCATCATCTTGACCAGGTTCTCGCATTTCAATTTGACCATTTCAAAGGAAGGCGACAATAACGAGGATGAAGATGATATTGCTGTCGATGATGATGATGACGCCGACGATGACGTCATCAACATTACGGTGGTTGATATAGGAAGGATAAGATTTTTTAAAAGTGAATCTCTACTAGATACATCAAAACTATCATGATTGATACCATTAGGAAGAGGCTTTCTTAAAAAATTATCATTAATTGAATAACCATTAGTATTACTATTACTGATATTATTATCATTGTCACCATCATTATTGTTATTATTACAATTATTATTATTGTTTTTATTAACAGTGTTGTTGTTGTCATTTTTGTTACTCATATGATGAGGTTTGTCACTATTGCATTCAACATCACCAGGGCTATCAAAATGTTTAGTCGGGTTTAGTGACAAAGGGTCTTTTCTATTTTCTAATAGCTTCATGGTGGGAATTAATTCCTTATCATCGATATCGCCACAAGAACGGCGATGACGATGAAGAAGATGATGGAAATTATTGCTATTATTATTATTATCCCTTTTGTTATCATCTTCATCATTTCTAATTCCAAGTTCGCCAATGTTAGAAATCTTTCTCAATGTGGCCGATTTAATCTTGCCAGAAAAGTTTGGCTCCGGTTTCAAGCCTAAATTCTCGAATTTAAGTACGGTACAACTCCTTCTGAATATCTTGTTATTATTTTTGTTGCTGTTGTGGTTATTATTATTATCGTTGTTGTTGGTGATGTCATTGTTGTTAATGTTACTGTTATTCAACTCCATAATGTTGTCACGTGTATAGTTGTTATTAACGTAGTAGTTGTTGTTGTTGATGTAACGAAAGTTTTTACCTTGAATTCTGTCATTAAAGGTCTTATTCATTCTGTAGATGTTACTGTTAGATGCCAAGTCATTGATTAAAACCTCATCAACATCGTTTTTGTTGTTGTTCATGTGTTTGGTTGTTGTTGTTGTTGTTATGTTTGGTGTTATTGTTGTTGATGCAACATATGATGTCATGAACATTCATCGTGTGTGTGTGTCTGTGTGTTGTTTAGTTTGTCAAAATGTTTGGTTCATTCCGCAAACAATTCAATGAATGTTTTACAAGAAAATGTTCAAGTCATAAAGTTAGTTAGCACCATGTTGCATCGCGTTACGAAATTTTCAATGCAATAACAAACTAAATAACTACTACTAATATGAAATCATCTCGTTGTTTAGTTGTGGCTAAATGTTATCCAGAACGTGTTATCCATTCATTAATTAATAAAGTAACTTGTGATTCCATTATTAGCAGATATTAAATTAAATGACGTTCATTAACTAATTAACCAATTAACTAATTATAAAGAGACAAAGGCACAATGTTTCCCAATGTGAGACTTAATTATAATCAGAGCAACTAACAAATTTAAAATGACAATATGAAATGATAATATATTACTATTAACAAAAAATAATAATACAGAATATAATTAATTAACGATAAACAACAATTAATAAATAAACAGTCATCAAATAAACATTTTTAAATTTTAAAGAGAACACACGGAAAGAGATGTATATATAAATATATGTATATATATGCGTGTGTGTGTGAATGAACCATCCTTCCAGTGCGTATAACTGGAGCACATCAATGGCTAGAGTACACTCATGTATGCATATTTTTCCATACAAAACAACTATGAATATGAAATATACACAACTGGAGCGCGCACACACATATACAATATACACAGATATAATTTTATACAAACACATACATATACACATATATACACATTACACATATACGTACAATTATATGTAAACATATAAATAAAAATTATTATGTAGTATATATAACATTTTGTTGAACTGTACAAAAGCTCTTTGTTTTTATATAGTGCACTCAAATATATCATAATACATACACAAGAGTATATAATATATATATATATATATATATATATATATATAGATTATTTTTATATAATATATAATATAATATAATATTATATATATATTAAGTATATATATATTTTATTTACAATAATATAAACATTAATTATATAATAAAATTTAATATGATTCAATCACTTAGAAATTATTCAAAGCATGCTAATTATTTTATGATTTTAGTGAAGCAACATTAAATATATCTAAATACAAATAAATAAGACGCATAAATATATAAAATCACACACACTCACACACGCACACACACGCACGCCCGCACACACACACACACACACACATATATATATATATATATATATATATATATATATATATATATATATATATATGTATTAACCTATGAAATCAATATAAACATAGCAAAAGCTTTGTTCCAGCGGAACAAAGGAACAGTGGATGAGTGAGTGAATGAATGAAGGAATGAATGAAGGAATGGTAGAATGAATGAATAGTTGAGCGAATAAATGAACGAAAGAATGAATGAATAATGAGTAAAAGAATGATTGAATGGATAGGCGGGTGGTTGGAAAACAAAGTAAAAAAAATTAAACTGACAAGAATGCTGGAGATACATAAATTTTAAAAATTTTGCAAAAAAAGAAGAATGAGTTAGTAACATTTAAATAATAAAGTAATATATTCGTAAATTATATATATATATATTATTTTATAATATATATATATATATATATATATATATATATATATATATAACATTATAACATCAACCGGTAAATTTAGCAAATGAATAAAATAAATAAATAACAAAATAATAAAAACGAATAAAATCGGAAAAATGAAGGCATCATAAGTTAGACAGATGAAGTTGAATAAAGTGAAATGAGATATGACTCAAGGATTTGTATCAAATGGTAAAAAATGTATTTATAGAGAGAGAGAGAGAGAGAGAGAGAGAGAGAGAGAGAGAGAGAGAGAGAGAGAGAGAGAGAGAGAGAGAGAGAGAGATGTGAATGAATGAAAAATGAAAGGGTATAATAGTAGTAAGTAGATAAGTAAATAAATAATTAATGAATAACTTTCATCATTTTAAGAAGAAGGAAGGGAAATAAATTTAAAGGATAAAATGGAAATATAAAATAGATCAGTGCAAGAAAATATACATGCTATTACATTCTAAATCATTTTTATGAAACCAAATTCATTCCCTGGTCAATGTAAATCATCTTACAATGGACCAGGGAATGAATGGATGGATGAATGGATGGATAAATGGATGGATGAATAGATGAAAGGATGAACAAATGGATGGAATGACAGAGGAATGAACCAACAGATAGCTGGACGGACAAATGTAAAATTACTCATATACACAAAAGATAGATGAATAGTGTTACATACAATACAAGGCAGCTTGCAGTATGCATACAAAAATGTATTGTAGGTAGAAACATTATAAACAATGAAATACGTATGTATGTGCAACACGTAAGAGATGTGTAACAATGTATATAGAGGCTATTTGTATTTGTACTTAGCATACAAAGTTATTGTATCATAATACCATGGAATACATGCATTCAGATTCCATTACAAAACATGAAAGACAGAAGAGGCAGGTTTGCGAAAAATACAAACAACAAAAATAATTAAAAGAAGAAAAATATATCACATAATGTTATAACCAAAAAAACCTATAAAAACAGCATGGATTATATCTACGTATTTACTGTGGCAGATACATGCAGATGAATGCTGGCTGGTTATGTGAGTTTTTATTAAGGTATTATTTTATTAACTTTAATAAGGTAAGGTCAACGCCATTCATCTTTACATGCCAGGTCACAACAATGAGTGAAATGCCAGAAAATATCATGATGATTATAATAAATATCATTCGTTACCTACTTACTATAGGTACATTGAATAAAGCGAGGTGCATGAATGATGAACTGGAAAAGAAAAGTGCTAATAAAAGTTGATGAAGCAAAAGAAAAAAAGAAAGAGAGGATTACAAAGATAGATAGGAGAGAGAGAGAGAGAGAGAGAGAGAGAGAGAGAGAGAGAGAGAGAGAGAGACAGAGAAAGAAAGAGAGAGAGAGAGGAGAAAAATTGAAATAGCTCCTTAACACAAAGATAGTTTTATAACCTACAGAATGAATAACGTTAACTGCAAGGGCACTGAAGATGTTAACTGAAACGGCACACACACACATACACAGTTTAGACAGGTTGCATTGTTCTTGCATGTAATCAATCCACACACCAGCCCCTGAAATTTCACAGAAAAAGCAAAAATGACGGCAAAACACGTCAACTTTATCAAACAACTTCGATATGGATGCAACTCAATCTCATCACCTTCAGGAATAAGAAAATTGAAATTGTGGACGAATATTGACTGCGTGAACTGATTGATCACTTTTACAGCATTAATACCGCAATCACATGCATTCCCCTATAATATTTCCATCTCATTTCCACGTCAACCTCCCACACATCCGTTTATCCTCCTAGCTTACCTAACTCAATTCCATAATCTTGCCTCGAACAAAACAAAATATCTAATAACAATTACATTCAATTAAATTACGTTCGAATGATTGTTTCTTTAAGAGTGGATAAAATGACCTGAAAGTTCATTAATATATGAAGTGTGTGTAATTGCGCGCGCGTAGTTCTGCCTATTCTCCAGATCCGTTGTACAATACTCGTCTGGATGTTATCATCACAGTTCATCATCATAATGATGACGACGATGATGATGAGTAATCAGGAGAACAATGACGACTATTGTGATGATGAAAAGGATGATGAAGAAGATGATGAAGTATATTTTTAACAAAGATACCTAGAGTGCAGCTAACCCATTTAACAGTGCCCTCAAAGTACATTTGTAACTCAAACAAAATTTAAAGTTTTAAAGTTTCATAAACATACACAAACAAAGAAAGACAGAAAAACACAAACATACACAAACACGTACACTAACAACACACAACATACACACATACATATGAACAGAAAACATAAACATGAAATAAAATAAGCTCAAACATGTGTGCTTTGGCATGTGATTTGTTGTAGTATACTTATGAAAAGTTTGTGTGTAGTGTGTGCGTTTAAGTGTACAGGCACGTGTGTGTGTGTGTTGTGTGTGTGTGTGTATACGTGTGTGTGTGTGTGTGTGTGTGTGTGTAAGTGTATGTAATTGGAGTGTGCACTATTTTTGTATCAACTGCAGGCTAAGTATTACCTACATCACTGTATATTATGTGAATATTTGTAAAGGTTTGTGTGTGCAAATGTAGTGTGTGCGTGTATAGAAATGCGTGCGTGTGTGTGTGTGTGAAAATGTGTGTGTGTGTGACTGTTCGTGTATGACCTTTAAAATAACCAGAGATTATTTGTAGGTGAAGTTTAATTTCCTTATCAGACATGGTAGTAATTCTAAAAGAGAACTGAGTGATGATGAGTGATGAAGAAAGTAAACGATGATGACGTCCAGCAGATGATGATGATGATGTCCAGCAGATGATGATGATGATGTCCAGCAGATGATGATGATGATGTCCAGCAGATGATGATGATGAAGATGATCTAGCAGGTGATGATGATGGCGCAGCAAATGGCGACGACGTTGATGAGGTTTTAAAAAATAAGATGGTCGAGACAATATGTGTACAGAAATTTAAGAACATGACCAGTGTAAACTCACATGTTAAAATTATCATTAGAAAATTTATATAGGAAAATTTTTTATTCAAGGACTTCGTTGAAAATAAAATGTTGCTAATGAACATTAAACAGGCAAATGATGAAGATGATGACGATGGTGATAAGAAGACAGCAGAAATGATGATGACAATGATGATGATAAAGAGATAGAAAGAAATGATGAAAGTTAAAGCTGAGACTAAAAGGAGCATGATGGCTAAAAAGCTGACAATGATAAATATGCTCGCTAGGTAGTTATACAGTGGTTTCAAAGTGTAATATATCATCATTTTCATCATCATTTTATGACTTTGTTATTTATAAGTACAAACATTATCGTTAAAAACATCATCATCAACGTGGGTTTGATTAATTATGTTCATCATTTCATCATACTACTGTGTAAACATCATCTTAAACATCATTTTCATCATTACCGTTGTCAACCATAATCTTCGTCATTTTCATCATCATCGTCGTCCTCCTCCTCCTCCTCCTCATCATCATCATCGTCGTCGTCGTCGTCATCATCATACTCACAAAATGAACTCACCATCTTCGCAAGTTAGCAATCCTGTGTTTTTTATTTCATCAAATCTCTGCAATAGCTGGTTCAATCTGAGGAGAAATTATGATGATGGTGATACGTATAACAGCGATGATGATAATGATGATAGCAGATCATCATCATCATCATCACCATCATAAATAGAACAACATAGACGTCATCAGCATATTTTCACTTACCTATAACATCATCATTAACATCATCATCATCATCACCATTATCACCATAAAATATGGTCATAGATGATAAGATGGATTATTGAAAACATCATCAAAGTCATCATCACTGACTTTATCATCATCACCAACATCATCACTACGATCGTCATCAACACCATCACTGAAATCATCATCAACACCATTGCTACAATCATCATCATCGTGATGTTTGTGGATAGTGTACATCATTACATCATTATTTTAAACTCAACACCACAAAGTGAGAAATATAATTCAATTAATTCTTCATTTAAATCCATTCTATAAAATAAAAACATAAAGATGAAAAGAGGCAGTAAATACAAAGTGGGCCATTTCACATTAGTACAACAACTTTGTATATTTCAGTGTACATATGATATGTGTGTGTGCGTGTGTGCGTGCGTACATTTACATGAAATACGTGTGTACTATTTGAGTGTGTTCATACGATCGTGCATATACATCCATATACAGTAAATGCCAGTGTAGTACAAAGTGGTTATGATAAGGTATTTTTTATGCACAGAACAATAAGTACAGTGAGACTGTTATATGCGTTCGACGGAGTTACATTATATAGAAAACAAACCAATGTCACCATAACGTACAAGATGTAATAGATATAAATAGATAAAAATGGATACAAACTTGTTTGGATTAATATCCTTTTTCATGATATCATTCCTCAGTTTTTCACCAGCATACTGATACATGACCACCAAGGTATCCACAGATAATTCACGTATCTTGTTGATAGATAGTTAGATGGTTGTATGTTTCTACCAGCACAACTACCATAATCGTCATTATCATCATACATTATAATGTGATATTAAGCGTTGTTTACATCACTATTACTTTAACAATGAGCAACAAACAACAACAACAGCAACAAACAAACACCTACAGGTACAGAAGGGTCCTCCAGTAACTTGATCACGTGGGGCACCAGCTTGGAAATTCCCATGTTTCTACTTGTGCCATGTCTGATGAACGCGAAGATGATTACAATGATAATGTTACTAAAAATAATTTAGATAAATAAGACGCCTGGTTTCGCTGCTACAGTCACGGAGTTTAAACGCAAGAGATTCCGTGTTAATGACATGTGTGAAGCGTGGAATTAAGAGTATTCACATGCTCTGTGTGTGTGTTTGTCCGTGTGTATGTGTGTGTTGTGTGTGTGGTGTGTGTCTATGTGTGTGGATACACATACACACACATAGCATGTGTGTGTATTTGTTTACTTCAAAGTTGGTGCGACAGTTTCAACCCAACCTACTTGCTACCTAAGTATGCACACACAATGTAATGACGTTTGGTTTGATTCAAAGTGCTATAAGATAATGTCATACCAGTGAAATGATAAATTGCAAAATTTAATGTAGTGTACTGACTATTAAATAGTTTAGAAAGTTTAAATTTGTGTATTGTCTGTTTCCTTTCAGCAAATGTCTTTTCATAAAAAAAAGACTTTTGTTTAAAATCTTCTACAATATACAACAAAATATAATAATTGAACATAAAAACAGAATCAATCATTAGAAACAATAAATGTAATTATAAAGTAAATAAATATATAATATATATAGTAAATAAGTATATAATTGGTAGCAGATAACATTCAAAAAAACTAACAAGTTACCTAGTATTGCTAACATGTAGAAACATGTAGAGAACAATAACGTTAATAATAATATTATTATTACTATAATAATAATATTTATTATTATTATTATAATTTAAAATAAAAGTAATTTCTAAAAAAAAAAACACAGACTCGTTGAGTGTCTTCTGCACACAAATAAGGATTTCTTCCTTAACTTTTGGAGACTTGTGACTGAATGCAAACAGCAACTTCTCAAATATCATCTGGATGGATTTACATTAATCAAAATATTCATCCATTTCATCCATTCATCCATACATTCAATCAATCATTCACTCATCCATTTCATTCAATCATTCACTCACTCATTCACTCACTTACTCACTCATTCACTCACTCACTCACTCACTCACTCACTCACTCACTCACTCACTCACTCATTCATTAAATAAATTATTCATTTATTATCTAATTATTTAATTAAAATAATATATGTAACATGATATTGAAAAAAGAAGAAGCAAACAAAAACACTATAACGCAATATTTCTCGTTGACTAGAATTTTTTTGCAAGCAAACCCTATTTATAGATGGCAAACTGTGTGCATATTTATATGCTTGAGGAGGCAGAAAAAAAACATTAAAAAATGTGAAAAATGAATTAAAAAGATTAAGAAGAGAAGAATAAACAAGTAGACAGAAAGTCCTCTGAAAAAAAAGGCAAAACTTCCCATAAACATCTGCATAATAATAATAATAATAATAATAATAATAATAATAATAATAATAATAATAATAATAAACATTTCTTCCTGCAAAATCTGTAATAACAATTCAGCAATGTCTTTCTTGTTAGCGAGAAGAAAAATTTTTCAGACACGTTAATACAAGTTAGAAAATGTCATAAAAAACAGTCTATATAATAGTAATATATAGGTATATGACGTTGTATACATTTGATATATGTTGTACATAAATTATAACTTTAACAACACAAATAACTTTGAAGATTTAGTGATTTATTAAATAGCTAATATACAATAGCGAACATTAATAGGATGATTACAACAATAAGAAAATTCACACATCAACATACATTATAGCATCAATACATCAACATACAAAAAGCATCCATACAATACATCAACATATAAGTAACACATCCATACAATATATCAACATACATTAAAACATCAATGCAATACATCAACAAGCATTAACATGTCAAGACATCAATATGTGAACCATTTTAGTAATAAATCCTTTTAAGGAACAATAAGCCAATACTGAGAAGTCAAGAAAGAGAGAGGTATTAAATAAGGTAAGGCATTGAGAAACATTGCTGGTGTTGTACTGTACAAAGGAAATTGTTAAATGATTAATGTGTATGATAATTATTTTACAAATGTGCTTACATTTATAAGTTTAATAAGCTGAACCTCAATAAATGAATATAAATTGATAAAAACTAACAAAGACTTTAAAAAAAAACATAAAATATAACAGCATTAAAAATGGGTATGATACATTGAAAAATTGAAATATACATACAGATAGTTGGCATGCCCATAAAAAATATATTATTCAAAAACAGACAGCATGAAATACACTACAACAAATAATGACAATCACCATCACAATGTTGATGAAAACGGTGATGATGACGATAACAACAATGATGACGACGACGACGAAGACACCACAGCCAAAGAACAAACAACAAACAATCAAACAAGGCTAATAATGTAAAGGAAACATAGAACATTAGACATCAAACTAATTACACAGTTTTGTTTGTTTTGTACCTACAGCATGTGTGTGTGTGTGTGTGTTTGTGTGTGTGTATTTATTCGTTTGTGGTGTGTGTAAGTATGCATGCATGTATGTATGTATGCATACTCATATGAGGGTTGGTATGCACTGTCACGTTATCATAAGTGTAATAGCAACAAAAAATAAACATATGCAGTCAATTAAAAAGTGTTTTCTAAAGAAATTTTCACATGGTGTTTGTTGGTATGTGTTTACTTATTAGTAACTTTCGACAAATGCACTAACTCAAGCTAATTTATTTGCTAATATGTACAAACACTGCATACATGCCTTTGCAATCTAACAAGTTAATCAATATAAAATTGAACTGTCAACTAGAACCAACTATTATCAAACAATTGGCTAATTAAAATTAACCAGCTAAAAAATTAAACTTCCTCCTAATTTAATAAATAAACTAACAAACATTTTATTCATCCCTTTAATGAATGAATGAATGAATGAATGAACGAATGAATGAATGAATGAATGCAGCATCCAACCTGAGGGCTAGCAACAACAGTCATCAACTTTGACAGTAAATCTTGAGCACTGTTTCGAACCTAGAAAAAAAAATTGTTATACCTAAAATTGTAGCAAGGGGTTCATTAGAATTTTCAAAAGAAAAAAGCAAAAAATGAAAGCTGGTTTTGTACATTAAAAATTGTTTCTATCATATAAACATTTTAAAATTAACGGTAATTAATTAACTATTAATTTCAAGAAATGTAGAATAAATTGATTTAGATTATAAATTTTGAAATTAGGAACCAAAAGGTACTAACAGCCTCCTTGTTATCACCCAGTCGATCAACAATCAGAGGTAAAACTAATAAAAAAATAGAAATTTGATTAAAATAACACACGTACACACAGAAATACACATATCAAAACTTCATGATACACACACACACGCACATCACACACGCACATCACACACACAAACAAACACGCACACACACACACGCATGTACTATTATTACAATGAAAAAATAAAATAGAATGACAAACATGTTGGTATGTAAGACTGGAAATTATTTCTCATCAAGTCCATCAAGCACATAAGAACATCTAAACCGTTTAGGGAAATCTTTAAAAAAAAACACAACTTAAGAAATGCTAAAATGATTTTGGTTAGAAATATCTTAAAATAAACAAAAATATCAAATCATGAATATTGGAATTCCCAACCTTGAAATTACTAGCAACAATCCAGCCTGTCACACCATCAAGAAACTTATCAAAATCCTCACATTTGACTGAAGCATTTGGGGACTTGAGGTAGGCCATGATTTCCTCATAGATTTGAATTTTTTTCTTGGTATCTTGAGTTAAGATGCTAGGCAAGAAGTGATCCAAAGAGTCAGCCATTTTTTTTAAAGTTAATCTATAATTATTTTACTTAAACTTAATAAACTCTTGTTCACAGAGATTTACAGTTATGATAAAATAAAATATTAATATACTGTAAATTTTTGAATAATACTGCCAATTATATATTATATGTAATAATTATATAATATATATAAATAATGTGTAAAACTGTAAATTATATTGTAATTTTTTTAATTTCCTTCATGAAGGTCAACAATTCTTTACTCTTTACTAATTCTATTATTATTATTCCAGTCAAAATGAACCTAATGACGCCCAAATGATGGTAAATAATTACTTTTATTTTAAATTAAAATCAACTTTTAAAATATAACAGCACAGACAGACAGACAGTGCAGTAAACTTTAATTTTTAAAGGGTTGAAAATTTATTAATAATAAAACACTTGAGGCTTGCTCGTTGCTAGGTTGGTTAGATTAGTTAGTTGAATGATTTAATTGCATACGAATGTTTCAAGTTCACGTCTCGACAAATCCTAATTTAACTAACTAAACCCTAATCTTCAGCCTGCTTGCTTGGTTAGTAACGAAGATGATATGACGATACGATGCTGATGAAGAATGACACACCGTCACCGTTTATTAATTGATAAACTTGAGATAAACCTTTTCAATTAAATATGTCATTTCAGTCTTACAATTATTTATTATTACAAACCTAAATATATAATTATTTTTTCAAGAGATACGCTGACAAACTTGTTTTATTAAAATTAGGAGAAATAATTAACATTTTTCATTAAAAACACCAAAGAATCCACCAACATCTACTTTTAAATATTACAGTTCGTTGCTCTTGTGATGTCCTTTCTACCCTTATATACATATATGTGTGTCTATCAAATATTCAGAGTCCAAAGTCAGTGAGACATGTCAACTTTTCCTTTTCCATTTTTTTACTTGTAGAATTTATATTAACTTATCACCATACATTCTGCAAATAAGTCCAGTCCTAGTTTCATTTCCTTCGTTCAACATTTCGGTATATGCCTTTTTGTTTCTAAAGCTGGTGGTTTCGTATGACTTGGTCTCTTACTTTCTGCCTCCAACTGATTCACTAACTGATTCACTAACATATACAAAATTCAAACGCTATGTGAATGTGACATAAGTATTCTAAGGTATTTTAGGAATGGGTTAGTGAACGTATATGTAAGCCAGAGGCTTTTACTCGATTATTTATAAAAAATTACAATAAATATTGAACAAAGTTGTAATTTTAATTAACTTTAGTATATTTTTAATTAAACTACATACTAAAAGTTATAAAAATAAATGACTCTACGGAGAAAAACTATTAAATGTATCGTTTACGGAATTTTTAAACCATTGCCACAAATTTTTCGTTTTACGTTTAAAATGTTTATTCCACTCTTTAGGTTCATTTGAATGATCATTTCTTTCATTGCATTTTAGATTACACCTATATTTATATCTCGTGTTATTGTTTTGAATGTTTAACGCAGTTTTATTGTTGCAACCGAGAATGTCATCAACGCTGTCATATTCGTTTGCGTTCATCCTCAGACCGAAGTTGTTAATTGGGGTTTGAATGTGGTTTGAATGGTTTGTGGTTGTCCCACTGTGGCGAGACTGTTTTGTCGCCGCGTCACAATAACCTGGCGGCTGGTGTCGCGACTGTTTTTGACGATTACGTGGTTGACGTTGTTGTTTTTGATGCTGGTCTGGTTGATGTTGTTCATGCCGTCGATCATGTTTGCTGTGTCGTTGTTTTTTCGGATGTGTCTTCGAAGTTTCGCCGTACTTTTGAAACATGTCCGCTTCACCATGACTCATGTTCATCTTTGATAAAAATGTGTTTTTCCCCACCACTGAATCATCGCTGACACTGACAATATCTATATCTATTCTTTTACTGTAGATGTTACCATCAACATCACCGTGATTACTTGATTCACCATCGCTAACGTTATCGCAACTTTTGATACTATCGTCATCATCCAGATCACTCATTTCACTTAAGTAATTTCTTCCGCAAGAAAAATGACCGTTCATGATGCGACTGTCCAGTCGACAACTGGCTAGTGAAGACTGCACATCGTTCTCTCCATCTTTTGCTGAGGTAGATTTTTGTAAGTTTTCATCGAGCAATCGTTCAAATGGTTGTGACGTCAGATTGTATACACCATTGTCGACGGGTTCAACTGATTCACCAATTACGTCATTGCCATCTAGTTCCGGATCCTCGTGAAAAATCCACCAGAATAAAAATGACGTTAACATTGGTGTGAGTGAATGGATGAAGAGAAGGTTGGTGTGGAAGTGGTGGGGGCATACGAGGTAGTTGATGTATGACGAGAGGGGGAAGATGTGGATAAAAGGTATCTCCTGAGTGCCTGTTTTGTTTGTACGTTTAATTTGAAATTGTACGTGTTGTGTGTGTATGTGTGTGTTTGTTTGTGTGTATGCGTGTGTGTGTGTTTTTGTAGAAACAGCCAGTGTATACAATGCATTAATAATAATTTATGCATAAACTTTTTATATAAATTAATATGTTTATAACATTGATACATAAAAGGAAATATCTTCATGAAAGAAACAAACCCATTACACGCAGAACTGAAAAGATTAGCGATCTTGCAATCAACACCAGCGGCACCAAAGACACTTCATCTCCCAACAAATATATCAACAATCCAACTAGGAATGTTCCAAAAAATTCGAGTAGCATCGCCGCGTGTCCATTCTCAGTCGGTACCTGGCACAGCAGGGTATTGAAGTCGTCGCATTCGCATGCCGTGAAAACGATTTCTTTGAGAATGAACTTAAACAATGGCTTGTAAAGAAAAGTCACTAAGATTATTTGAACAGGAAGGAAAAGTAGGTATTGAACTTTATTTCTATATCGCGCGTCCTTTTTAAATTTCGATAATGAGATGGTTTGAAATGGCGAGAAGATTAAATAAATGATGCTCTGATGGCTGCATACACTACGGTTGAAAGATAGGAAGTAGAAAAGTGACAGCACAATTGATATCGTCGTGCTTATTTGAAGTTGGCATGCGTGGAAGTAGAATAAAGTACAGGTACAGAGCATCGTCAGATCCAATATTTGTATAGAATCGACAAAGACCGACACAACATTATCGGTACTGCTTTTTAAATATTTGTGCATGGAATTACGGGTTAAAAATACCAAATCAATGATCAATCGACACGCTATGATGGAGAGGACGTGAATGATGAAGATGGACGAGGCGAGGGAGATGGAGAAGTATCGGAGCATGTAGACGATGATGTTCTCAGATATCGCCATCATCAAATTGATTCTAGGCTGGTACTGTTTGGTGATGTAAGGTTATCATTGACTCGTGCGAATTATAATAGTTATAACAGTAACAACGAGAATTTAAATTAAACAATAGTTGTGAAATGAAATACATTTTTGCACGAGTGCTGCATACTGCCATAAGTTGAATCGAAATATTTTGATTTTGAGTTTTGCTAAAATCTAGACTGACATGTAATCTCATTTTAAATTGCGAAGTATTTGAAATGACCGTTATAAAAATATAAATGCCGCAAAACTTTCAAACTTTTAAAAGAGTGATTAATAACAGAGCGATTAGGACAGCCAAGAAACGTCCAAGCATTGCGTTGGAAAGTCATAACAGGTTTTCTCAGTTTTTCTCACACAGGTACGTATGCGACTGTCTTCAAACATCGTTTGTTGGGCACACCATTCTATAGATTATGTGGATATGCTAAATAGCGGTGAACGGAATGAACGTTACCAAAAAAGTAGAATTGTAAATTTTAAGATTAAATTTTAAAGTTTTTATAGTACATTTACATAGTGACAAACTGAGTTGATGCTTAAGTAAAAGAAATGAATTCAAATGTAAACACAAGTGTTGGTTTGTTTATTGTTTACAATAACAAAATGAAAGGTAGGTGACGTTTAAATTTTGATATTCGTGAACAAATTGCATCTCGTTCGTTCCTCGCTGGCCTTGGCTTTCGACATCTTTGATTCTGCAGTCAAGAGGCACTTTGGTTTATTATCGTTCAAAATTATTTCATTATTAAACAAACTCGACAATTTTCTACAAATTTTTTAACTGTTTTTATTATATAAAAAATAAATTAGATTTTTCCTTCAAAAGAACTGATTATTCGAGACAAATTAAAACTCAAAATAGATAAAGTTTTAAAGTGGAAATCATAAATTACGAAACAAGAGCAAAATAAATTGACGTTTTTTTTAAATTTGAAACCAAATTCCAAACAAACAACGCAAAGGTACTGTCACAGTATTATCTACAATTGAGTTGAATAAAAGTTGCACTTTAACAAACATTAAATTTCAACGAGCATAATTGTGAATGATCCCATCAACTCCTTTACTTTACAAACACAAACCCACACACACAAACACACCCACATACTGTAAAGAAAACATGAAAATTTGCTATGCATCTTCTGAAATTTCTCAATAAACCACCAAATAGTTGATAACCGTAAAAAGTTACATTAAAGTGTACCAACAACTTAAAAGCAATTTCCATAATTTTTGATAAGAAAGTTTTTACATGAGTTAAGTAAATAGTGCCATCTCCAAACAACATTTAACAAGCATTCTTACATTGAATTAGCCCGCACTTCTCAACGTAGACGTTAAAGAGGAGGTGTTTGCGTCAAAAGGTTGTATTCTAAGATGTATTGCGTAACATTTTATTGTATTCTATCATCATCATCAACATCAGATACAAAATTTTAAGAGGTGTTTGTCAATCTAAAGATTTCAAAGCCACAATTTGTCGGGGATCAATACGACGTTATCACATTAAATAAATAAATGAATAAATAAATTAATGAACGAGTTAAGTAAATGAGAATTAATTAAATAATTAAGAATTAATCAATTAATGAAATAAGGTTTATTAATAGTTTATTTTTTGAAACATTATACAGTTAATAACTTAATAACTACTTTAAACACTTTACATGGTTGATCATTCAACAAAGTCTGGGCACTCGGCCAAGAAAGACACAATTTTGTCAGTTTTATCAACAAATAATTGTAATGTAGGTGAACAATGAAAAAACACACAAACAGAAACTACACCAGCAACACGTTCGCTTAAATAAACAAATCTACGTCAGTAATATAGAAGCTGGTTAACAAAATTCATACCATTGAAAAAAAAAAATTAGTCAATCCAATCGTGGCAAACAAACGTTAACAGCACAAAATAACAATAATAATAAGATCAAACAATAATAATAACAAAAACATTTAATAATAATAATAACAAATAAATAAATAAAAATTAAAAAAGGGTTCAGCGTAAGAGGAACCAAATGATGAAGATGATGCAGAAACCGATGACGCAAGCAAGAATGATGGAGTCACGTTTCTTGCGCAGGTTGATCTTTACTATCAAGTTATTCAGGACAGGGAATCTGTCTGTTGTGCGTGTGTGTGTATGTGTGTGTGTATATATGTGTGTGCGTATGTCTGTATATTTATACGTATATATATATACGGAAAACTCCCCACCCGGTTTTCAAAATTTTTGCCCCTCTCAAAAATTTGTCAAGATCAGTCACTGAGTGTGGCCCGCCATTTTAAAAAGTTGCACACTCCTAATCATCATCATCATCATCATCAATAATAATTTATATAATAATAACAATAATAATATTATGATAATAATTAATAATAATATTATAATTATCCTAACTAACTAGTTAGTGAGTTAACTTTGTTACTGATAGAATGTAGTGCGCCCCTCTGAGACTGCAAGTTTTCTTTCGTGTTGACAGCTATGCTATAAAAATATTAATTAATTATAATTTTATAATTATTATTCATAATTATATTATTCGTTACTGATAAATATTAATTATAATTATTATTATTTATAAAGTTTTGTTTAAAATACGATATTTTTTTTAAATATGAAAAGTAACAATGATACTAACTTTATCTGCTCATCAACTAATCTTTCAGCACTGCGAATTTTAAAAATAATTTGCAATAAAAAACAAATAAACCACATAAACAAACATATTTACACACACATATACATACACATGTACATAAACTTACACACAACGACACACGCACACTCAAATATACATACATACATACATAATGTATAATACAAATTTTTAAACTGAAGGTAAAGACAGACACAAATATGTAAAACAATTTATAATATCGACTAGATTTTAATAAATTTGAAATAAAATAATTGGAATGATATGATAATTAAGAATAATAATTAATAAAATAAGATGGATGACTTGATTAAGTGTTGATGTTCCTTAAGGTACATGTCTGTCTGTGAGGAGGGCTTGTATGAGCTGGAGTTGAAGAATTAATTAAAATATCAATGGTTAAATTTTTACAAAAATGATGAATTCATCATCATAAATCATAAAATATATACTTCGGATTGTAAATTAGTTACTAATAAAAAATAAAATAAAAGTAACCCAACGAAATCAATTATTTCAAAACACTACAAAAAATCAAAAATGTTTAAAACAGGAAGCACATTCAATTCAAAAATGAAACCACAGCATTACACTAATTCACTAACTTATCTCTATAAAGTGATCCAAGCAGCTCCTCCCTCTCCTTGACGGCCATGATGTTCGACTTGGTCTTGTGAAACTCATGTGAATAATCCTGCAGAATGTCTCGATGACGCTGGAGCATGTGCAATAAAGTGGCATTTTGTGACGTCATACTCAGGGATTGTGTGTATTCTGACATTTTGTCATTCACTTTTGTCAGCTGGTGGATCAACAAAACTTTTGTCAGAAAAATTTTTAGGCTAAAATTGAATAAATGAATTGAAAAAATGAATTTGCATATGAATTTAAATTATAAAATTGATATATAAACTAGTGAATTATTCTAGAATAATAATAATGAAAATAATTTTCTAACATTTGCTAGTAAGTGTTCAATTTCTATGGACATTGCCTCTGACATGGAGGAGAGGTTTGATTTTGATGAATCAGCATTGCTTTAAGAAAAATTTGTTAAAATTAATCAACAAAAACTAATAAAATAATAAGCAGCATATTATTATATATGACAAAATCTACAACAAACAGAGAAAATGACCAAATGTAGTTAAAATAGAAAAAAATTCTTTAGAAAAAAATACTTGTAAGGTAGTCTATGAGCCACAGAGTTGCTCAAACCTCCATAATCATGGACACTTCTATAATTTGTGCCTAGTTTACTGAAGGACACTAATTTCAAGTCAATCTCGTTTTCTAACTGCCTAGCTTGTTTTCTTAGTTCTTGGAAAATTCATATATATTATTTTCATTATATTACAATTTGTAATGTTTTAAAAAAATTTTTGGTGTAATTAAGAAAATTGCTTTCGTTTCTAACTAAATACACATCATTGAATTTTTAACAGAGAAGTGTAAATGTGTAAAAAGAAGAACTGCTGGGAATCACAGGATTTCTTTAAATTATCGTTTTAAAGTAGAGACACTTTTTAAAATCACAGAACTGAATTAAATCAACAAAGTAATCAATCAACCCTACCTTCCCAGCCATTTCCAAATTCCATAATTTTATTTTTGTTCATTTCTTAATGAAACTTTAACAAAATTATGTTCACAACATAAACCATAGAACATGGATTTTTTTAATACCAACATTGAAATGAAAATGTCAAAAAAATTTATAAATGTATAGAATTTAACAATGTATTTCAAAATATAAATTCCATTTCGGTTTCGATTATTTTCAGGTATAACATTTCGTTTTTTTTTCAAATGAAACTCAACTCAATGGTTTATTGTTTATAAATTTTATTGAAACAATTTAAAAATTTAAATGTTAAAAACAAATTATTGTAAGTCTTTAAACATCAGTCAGATCAGAACTCAGCGCAAACACCTATCTATATATCACGTCAAGCCACTTCCAACATTCGATCAGCTTTTTGTTTGTATTATTATATACACTCCTCAGAAGTTTTCGAAGGATAATCCACGAAGCATGACACATCTAGTAAGAACAGTTCACAACCATGGATATAATTATAATTATATTATATATATATTCATGTTCACAACATATCACAATGGTATTTACCAGATGGGCTACATATAACAACATCACAAACTCTATTACACTGGTGATGGTAAAGGTTACCGAAAAAAGCTTTTATGTAAATGTATATACGAAAAATGCAATTTAAAATAATTAGAAATTTTATATTAATTTGAATAAATTAAATAATATCGATATATATATATATATATATAAAGAGAGAGAGAGAGAGAGAGAGAGAGAGAGTGAGTGAGAGAGAGAAAGTGAGAGAGAGACGAAATTCTCTGATTGGCTTATTGGATCTGGTAGGATTGCTAATCATATTATGTATAATTTTACTTTAATGTTGTTTCTGAAGAATCATCATCAGCACCGTCAAAATTTTGTGGGATCATAATCATCATCGTATTGCAGTGCTTGAATAAAAAGTTGAACAATTTTTTGGGTGTGTTTTTGTGGTTGTAGGTCACAATCACCATCATCATCCTCATCTGCACCGCAATGGAATGCAATGAAAAAGTTTTTTAAATGTCAAGGTCGGTTCTTCCCTTTGATATGCCGATATTTTATGATCATCGTGTATGCACTTTCTGGCATAAAAGAATAGAATGAATCAATTAATGAATGAATGATTGGAAAAGTTGAGTGAGGAAATGAATGAATGAGAAAAATAAAAAAAAAGAAAACTAAACCTTACTTCAAAAATCGTCGTTACTGTAATACATTGCGCCGACGACCACCATCTGGCCGGTACACGAGACTCCATCCGAACTGGAAGAGCCAGCAGGGCAGGACCGCGTCATAAACATTAATTGGGTGGCTGGCAGTCGTGAAATGGAAATGTTTTATGGACATTCACTCGATTCTGCACATCTAAATTATTATTACATCGGTGCTAGCCGCATTGAACTTTAATACCTGCTTGCAGGTATAATCATCACTTCTTGCCAGTATAATGGCAAGACAGACACGCGGACAGACAGACACACGGACAGACAGACAGACACACACACACACACACACCACACACGCACAGATAGAAAGATGTATATTGATAGATGGCGAGACAAATGGACAGATGATTGCCTAATTACAATTAGTACGACACGCTCATTGGTTCATGGTTTTGTCCATTTTACGGACGGGGCCATTATTTTGATCATCACCACCATCGTCATCAGGATCGTCATCATCACTCTCGCCATCTACATTGCAGTTGCATAGTTGGAACGGAAATTGTGATGTGAATGAGATGATGCGTGACTGATTGCAAGAGATGAATGCATGTGGATGGATGAACGAACGAACGAACGAATGAATGAATGAATTTTTTAATTCACAAATAGACGGATGGATGAATGCATAGATAAATAAATGTTACAAACATAAAAAAAGTGAGTTAAAGGAAGAATAACTGAAGAAATTATGAATTATGGTTGGTGAAAGATGATAGCAGATCACATGAAAGAACATTACTGACAGATTGTTCAAATCGATGAATTGCCAAATTTTTTTCAAAAAATGCCGACAAAAACATTTTCCTTTTTGAAGTAAAGTCATGAATAAACAGTTTTTTTATATCGTAAAATCCTCATTCATTCATTCAATCGTTCATTCGCTCATTCATTCCTTTCTTCATTCGTTCATTCGTTCGTTCGTTCGTTCGTTCGTTCATTCATTCATTCATTCATTCATTCACTTTTTCATTTATTGATTCGTTCATTTATTTATTCATTCATTAATGCATTCATTCAGTCAGTCATTCTTCCATTCATTTAATCGTACGTTCGTTCGTTTGTTCGTTCATTTATTCAATCGTTCGTTCGTTCATTCAGAGGTTTACGTATTTATTTGTTTTATATGACTGATTGAATGCTAAAATGAATGAATACGTGAAAAAAAATCAAAACATAGCAGAATGTATGATTGATAAAAATTAATGCACTATCGAACAATGAAAATGAATGAATGAATGAATGAATGAGTGAATGAGTGAATGAATGAATGAATGAATGAATGAATGAATGAATGAATGAATGAATGAATGAATGAATGAATGAATGAATACCTTATTGTACGTATTTTGGTTGAAAAAATGATGAGCAAACACGTCTGGAGATATTTGATAGGGAAGGGACTATTGTGGCAATCAATGGAATAGGAAAGAATGAAAGAATGAATGAATGAATGAGTGAGCGAGCGAGTGAAGGAAAGAAAATTGAATGAATTAAAGGTGGAATGAATAAATAAATGAGTGAGTGAGTAAATGAATGAATGAACAAATCAATAGTTTGAGAAAATGAATGAATGAATGAAAGGTGAAGTGGACGACTAACGAAAATGCTAATGAACGATCGATGCATGTGTGGTTGATGTTCGTACAATGGCTGGAAGAACAGCAGGAAATGTATAAAAGAACATCAAAAAACATCAACGCCATCAATAACATCTAATATATAAACAATCTCAACAAACAACAACATTAATCAATACTACAACTACTACTACTACTACTACTACTACTACTACTACTACTACTACTGCTGCTGCTGCTGCTACTACTTCTACGACTACTACTACTACTACTACTGCTGCTGCTGCTTCTTCTACTATTACTACCGCTATAACTACTAAAACTACTGCTGCTACTACTACTACTACTAATACTCATGCTACCTCGACTACTACTAATACTACGACTAGTTAAAATTAAAAATGTAATAGAAATAACTAAGAAATAATCAAAGAATGAAAGAATTAGTAAGTAGGTGAATTAAGGAATGAACAAATGAATGAATGAATGAATAAATGAACGGACGAACGAACGAACGAACGAATGAATGAATGAAAAGAAATTAAATGAAAAAATAAAAAAATGAATTAAAATAATGAAGGAGCTTAAAATAAACCGCACGACATTCCAACAATGAATCAATAAACAATGCAAACGTGCGTTTAGAATGAATAATTCATCTGAACGACTGAGTGAATCGGAAGGAATTAATGAAAGAATGAATGATTGAGCGAAAAAAATAAAGAACGCATAATTGAATGAAAAAGTAAATAAAAAAATGAATGAATGAATGAATGAACGAATGAATGAACGAATGAATGAACGAATGAATGAACGAACGAATGAAAGATGAATGAACGAACGAACGAATGAATGAATTAACAAATCAATAAATGAAAAAGTGAAGGAATGAATGAATGATTGAGCAAAAAAATGAATAAATGATCATAAGATAGAATGAATTAGTTAATAGATAAATGGATGAATAAATAAATCTGTGGAATTTTCTTGAGATTCTAGCTTTGGTTCAACCGGAACACTTTATAGTTAGTTGCTAGATTACAATACCATAGTATTATAAAGTAATGTTAATAATTCTCTAGGGGAAATTTAATTACCAAAAAATTTCAATGATAAATAATGATAGTTTTCGGTCACCTTATACTGTAACTACCTGTCTCCTTGTTGTCATGTTGGTACCGCTGTTTAGTATGTATGTATGTATGTATGTATGTATGTATGTATGTATGTATGTATGTATGTATGTGTGTGTGTGTGTGTGTGTGTGTGTGTGTGTGTATTTTTGTGTATGAATAATTATTAATTATTTACGTAAAACACTTTTTGCTGGTTTCAAAAGCGCAATTGCATATTGAGTGTGTGTTTGTGTGTATGCATGTTTGTTTGTATGTTTGTATGCTTGTATGTATGTCATGTATGTATGTATGTATGTATGTATGTATGTATGTATGTATGTATGTATGTATGTATGTATGTTAAAACCAAATCAGCGATGAGTGACACTAAACAGTCAAACATCTGAAAAAATCGGTTAACAATTGATATCTCGTTATTCGCTCACGTCGGCGTTTAATTGAACATTTTCGGTAACACAGACGCGCAAAAACCTTTGCAGCAAACAAGATATATGATTCATGGCGAAAAATAGCTCTCTGCTGTCGCCGGACCTGCCACTTATCATTTTGCAAATCTTTTTAAAAAATATTGAAGTGTTGTTGTCCATCGGGCCAAGAACCTGGATGCAAACAGGTAAAAAATCCATCGAGGGCAGGGCACCTTCATATTTTTTAAACTTTTCATCCGATGCCCTGGTTGCGGCCAAACCACTTTCTTTGCTGGTTAAGTGCACGTACCGTTCCGCTAATGTGCCCGGAACGGTTACGTCCCACGCCAGGCATCTACCGGCTCTCCAAGGAATTAACGTGCAGCCATCCGGACGTTTTCCATCCAACGCGGAAATTCCCGAGGGCTCTTTAAGAACGGGTATTGAAGCCTTGGAGAAGAGCCGGCAGATGTAATCATTTAATGCGGAATGGCGCAACTGACGACCTCCACCTAAACGACAGACCAGGCCGTGGTGACCGAGTTCGTTAGCTTCCGCACCGCACCTACACAGATATTTATGGTGGACCGTTAAACCCAGACGAAAACCAATGGCCATCCTGACCGTCTCATCATCCAGTCGGGTACCCACCGATGAGTTGGGCCAGGATCTCAACCAACCGCAGCTCGCGTCGCTTGACGCGGCCAGCAGACGAGCCGAAGTTGGATCGTCGGGACTAGAGGACAACAAAAACTGAAAAGTTGTTTTGTATGCCTCTTCCAGCAACCGAGCTTGAAAATGTTTTGCTCGGTTGGGTGATGCTGGTAGGGTACCAAGATTCGTGAAAGATTGCCGGAGCAGGGCAGACTGCAGGTCGAGCGTGGCAGCGGCAGATGATTTGTAAACAATAGGTGCCAGCTGGACCACGCTTAACAACCCCAGTCCCCCAAACCGAACCGGCAACTGGGCCTGAGACCAGCCCCTGTCTGTCAACTCAACATTGCATAGGGCTGACAAAGCTGACCTCAGGGCGCCATCGAATCCGCCCAAAATGGATGCATCAACCGAGAAGGATGTACGAAGGAAATACATCAATCTAGGCAAACTAAGGGCGTTGCGGACAATGGTCAGCGCGTCGTGGACCGGAAGATGAGACACTCGTTCGAGGGCGAATTTCAGCTCTGCGAGTTTTTTATTAAAAAAAGTGTTTTGAAACTCACCCTCCATCAATGGGGTGCCCAAGAAGCTCAATGATGCCTCAGACACTAAGGGCACTTCCACCAGTGTCTGTGGCATTTCAAAAGAGTCGTTTGCGTACAATTCGCATTTTTTAATATTAAGCTCAAGCCCAATGATGGAGGCATTGTCTTTTAAAGACAGGAAATCAGTAGCTAAAATTGCACCCTCGGCGGCCAAACTGATATCGTCCAGGTAGCCGCAAACGAATTTTGAAAGAAATTTTTCCAACACCGGGTGTAGGGTCAGAGCAAACAACATCGGCCCCAAAGGGTCACCCTGTTGCACCCCCTCGGACGATTCCATCACCCAGGTGTTATAACCAAGAGAAGAGATTCGGCTATATGCGGAGTGGCAGTAATTGTAAATTTGGGGACAGAGCCGTTTGACTGCCTCCAGCATCGAATCTCTCCTCAGGGTATTAAAGGCATTCCTGAAGTCAATTTTTAAAAAACCCCATTTATCGGGTAAGTCCAGAACCAATTTACGGGCCGCATGTACGGCCGCCTCTGCTCCTCCTTTCACTCCAACGCCCAGTTGAATTGGGTAAAGTTTCGCCTTGGTTTCTTCCAACACCAAGATCAGAGCACATTTGCTGGCCAACCTTCTCCAAAAGTTACCGACCACAATAGGTCTAACTCCCCCATCTTTTTTTGTCAACGCTATCAAACGACCCCCGAAAAAGAAACGGCTGGCGGCGGATGGGCACGCGCCAGATAAAATTATATTTATAAACTGTGTTAGGGAGCTTACAAACTCGTCAATGGGCAGTGGGCCTGAAATTAAATCTTTAATGTGCTGGGGCCTTAGGCAGTCAAGGCCTCCAGACGAACCATTCCTAAATGACTTCAGGGCTGACAACACCTGGGTGGGTGAAACGCAACCATTTACGGTTTCCGGTGCAGGAAAGACTCGCCTGTCCGATGGTGACCTGGGGTGGATGGCGTTGAGTCTAACCAATGTCTCAGGCGAGTCCCCCGCCAGACCCTCGGGAGAGCAAACAAGCCTGACAGCCGCCGAAAGATTGCCCTGTTCTATGCGGCGATTGCGGTTTGAATCCAACTGTTTGGATTGTTTTTTCGTGGCTTTATTGTATTGTCGATTTCAAAGCCAGCCGCAACAGACTCAACCTCCAATGTAGAGTAATCTGCCAATCGTTTGTTAACATGATTACCCTGGTTGAATCTTCGACCCCCTCTGGCAGACCCCCTCTGTATGTATGTATGTATGTATGTATGTATGTATGTATGTATGTATGTATGTATGTATGTATGTATGTATGTATGTATGTATGTATGTATGTATGTATGTATGTATGTATGTATGTATGTATGTATGTATGTATGTATGTATGTATGTATGTATGTATGTATGTATGTATGTATGTATGTATGTATGTATGTATGTATGTATGTATGTATGTATGTATGTATGTATGTATGTATGTATGTATGTATGTATGTATGTATGTATGTATGTATGTATGGATGTATGTATGTATGTATGTATGTATGTATGTATGTATGTATGTATGTATGCATGTATGTGTGTATGTATGTATGTATATATGCATGCATGTATGTATGTATGTATGTCATGTGTGCATTCATTTAAATGAAACACATCAAACCACAACCATACATGATTCAGTGCTGAGGGTGCGCTGAATTTGCTAAAAGTTTATTTTCTATTTAATATTTATTAAAAAATTATGTCAAATTTATAATAATAATAATAATAATAATAATAATAATAATAATAATAGTGTATATATGAAGTAATAATCTTGACCGTTTAATATTAATTTAAATAAATTATTGCTCGCCTGCGGATTATTTATCAAATAAAATAAATTTAAATAAATAAATAATAAAATTATTTTATTCAAATTGTATATATATATATTAAAAATATTATTACATTGATTTTTTATTAATTATTAATATTAAAAATTTTCGATTAACCGCTAATAAAAAGTTGGAATTAATCTAATTCACCTGGCCTTCGGGTGAGTGACAACATTTTCTTTCTTCGTTTTTACTTGATAAAAAAAAATAAATGATTCAATTTGATTACTTACTTCAATATAAGTACAAATACAGTAAATACACATTACATAGCAGTAGCAGTAGTATTGATAGTAGTAGTAGTAGTAGTAGTAGTAGTAGTAGTAGTAGTAATAGTAGTTGTGGTAGTGGTAGTAGTAGTAGTAGTAGCAGCAGCAATAGCAGCAGCAGCAGTAGTAGTAGTAGTATTATAGTAGCAGCAGCGGTAGTAGTAGTATTAGTAGTTGTAGTAGTATTGGTAGTAGAAGTATCGGTAGTAGTTGTAGTAATGGTAGTAGCGGTAGTAGTAATAGTAGCAGCAGTGGTATTGGAAGCAATTGTAGTATTGGTAGTAGTAGTATTTGTAGCAGTAGCAGCAGTAGTAGTAGTAGTTTACGCCGTGGTACTTCATATCACTTATTTCATATACAACGCACATGTACTTATATGTACTCTACTTACCCACCTAAGACTATAAAATCGAGTACACGTATGTGTGTATGAATGTATGTAACGTTATTTGGCAGTTCAAACCTGAGTGCATTTTAATTCTCCGAGCCAGGTAGGGCTCTGTTCTCAGCACGTGTGTGGCCTTGGTACGTGTCTTGTATTAAGTAAAAGTGTGTGCGTGTGTATGTGTGAACGTGTGTATGTGTGAACGTGTGTATGTGTGAACGTGTGTATGTGTGAACGTGTGTATGTGTGAACGTGTGTATGTATATGTGTGAACGTGTGTATGTATATGTGTGAACGGCTGTATGTGTGAACTTGTATGTGTGTGTGTGTGTGTGTGTGTCTATTTATTTAGGAGTCATGTATAAATAACAATAAATGTATATTATATATACCTGTTCAAATTTATTAAGCTATTTATTAAAGTAAATAAATAAATGTTCGCAAAAATTTGCCAGCAACATTAAACGTTTAAAAACTTCCTAACACATATAATCCAGTTAACTATGTAAAACATGCACGCTAACACGCGCAGAAATATCAAAAAACATCACACTGATACCGAAACAGTACCGAAATACCGGTACCGAAACATAGATACCGACACAAAGGAACATAAAATACCGCAATACAAACAGGGAATATTTATCTAACCGCATACTCCTGCGTATCCACGATGATGCTCTGACGAGTTATCTTCCTTTAAATAACGTCCTCCGACCACATAATTATTTCCATGTGCTCCGTTCATGTGTGTGCGTGTGTGCGTGTGCGTGTGCGTGTGTGCTATCTTGGTGGACGAGATGATTCAAGGGGTGGTCTAATTAAATAGTAGAATACAGTGAAATATGGTGGAATATTTATTTATTTATTGCTAAAATTATTATTGTCGAAAAGTTGACTTCAGGTTTAATTTTTATAAACTGGCATATTACTGCAATTCAAAGTTAATTTGATGTCACAAATGCCTCAACGACACTTCTATCTTCACGATCTTCTCACATTTTTCAATTTTACGTTTAATTTTTGAAAGAATAAAATTAGAAATCAGCTACCAAAGCAGAATGTTCCTGTGAATCTTCTACGACCCAGTGTCGCGGGCAGCAGCGGGCGAAACAAAATGGCCGCAATTAATCTTGACGTATGCCAAACGTCGCCCAATATCTTACAATCGTCAACTGAAGCGTAGAGGATTAAATTAGTTTTTCCTGTTGTCACAGATGTTTAAAGAGATTACACACGGAAATCTTATGTTGCTGCTGTGCTACTACTTGTGGCTACTACTACTACTACTAATACTACTACTACTATTATTACTACTACTACTACTACTACTATTACTACTACTACTATTACTACTACTGCTATTACTACTACTACTACTGCTACTACTACAACGACTAATATTTTTATTATTACTACTACCACCACTACTACTACTTTTACTACAGATACTACTACGTTATTGCTTGTACAACTACTACTGCTACCACTACAACCACTACTACTACTTTAACTTCTACAGGATCACCTTATACTCATTATTACTGCTACTGATTCATATATTACTATTACAATATCTGATGAAAAAATGCAAATTGGATTGAAGTCATTATTTGTGACTTCAATGTAAAGTTAGATTAAATTTTACATGAAAAAAAAATCCCAAAACCGGCCAAATTTTTTGCTTAAAATGAATGAACGCACGTTCGAGAAAATACGCGTCTAAGTAAGTAGGGTGGCTTTAATTTCTCCACTTCTCTCTCTCTCTCTCTCTCTCTCTCTTTCTTTTTCCATGTTTTTATTTTTATTCCTTATTTCTCTTGTTTTTCTATTTTAATTCACTTTTGCATCTGCAGTTTTTTTGCCTTTCTGCCTTCCTTGATTGCTGAACGTGTATGCCTATCCATAAAAGGATTACATTGTAATTTAGATAAATTTCTAAGATATGCAAGGAGACATCTGTGAAGACACTGTATAGATGCTTAGTACGTGGTCTTCTTAACTCTGTTCGTTTCTTTGTGTTTGTTTGCGTGTGTGTGTGCGTTCGTGTGTGTGTGTGTGTATGTTTACGTATGTTAGGTATACGTGCGTTCATTTGTTTGTATGTCTGCGTGATTGTATATGCGGGTTATATGTTTATTTGTTTGTGGTTGTTGGTCGCCATTTTGTGTCGCAAAATTATTTTTAGGAATTTTCGGTCAATTTTTTTAACGAAAAAAAATGTTTGCCGGTGTACATGAGAGCAATTGTTACACTCCTTGTTCAAAGTTTTTGTAAAATTGTAATTAGAGTTGTCTGAAGAAAAATATCGGTTGTAGTTGTAATTTTTAAATGTCAGTGAAATCATTTACTGATCTCTTAATGAACCACTTGAAAGTTCATTGCATCAAGCAAACAACACTTGCACAATGATTCATATTTAATGTTCTTTTTAATAATTACTGAGGAGCGTAAATTTCGGGTGTAGTTATCAACTCAACAAGTTTGTAAAATTGCAGGATTGATCTTAATTTTCACCAAGATAACGAAATAATGTTACATATTTAAAAATTTTATTGCAGCTATTAAAATGGACAATGTAGTGATTAAATTTTTCTACGTGTTGTAGCAAGATATTTATATCATGATATGCACTAAGCCCAATGGCAGGGTATAAATGTATCATTGTTTTTTAATTAAAGAGCCAGAGTTAAACAAAATATCAAGCTTAAAAAATACTTTTACAAAATCAAGTTGATGATGCAAAAGTTATAGATGAAAAACCCCCAAAAAAATGAAATCCAGCTTGAAATAGATATAAATTTAAAGTAAAAAATGTAACTTGAGAAAATTAAAAGAAAAAAAATTGAAGACGTAAAATAATTTTTGACAACTAAACAGAGTTCTTCTATTTTTGAGATTTCAAATAACTTTCTAAGAAAACCTTACAAACTGAGTGTGTTTCGTGTTCTCTACAAACTTTTTAAATTTTAACGAGTATTGGGCATTGTTAACATTTCTTCTTCACACAATGACTAACTGCACTGTCGTCATGATACGTGCGTACGTCTATGGGTGTATCTACTTTCATTCTATTAAATAGTTGTTTATTTAATAAACGTGTTTATGTGTATAAATATGTGTACGAATGTGTATATATATATATGTGTACGAATGTGTATAAATGTACGTATGTAGTTGGCCATATTAATAATGATTAATAATTCTTAATGGCAAAAGGTCTTTATGGATGATTATTAGATTAATTTTATATGTGGATTTATGTGCATTTTATATCATAATAAAATATAAATTTATTATTATTATTATATATATATATATTATTGGTCAATAATAATAATAGTTATTAAAAAAACACAAAATAGCAATAAAAAACATTCGATCGTTGTCTATAAAATCCGATTTCTAAATAGATGTGTTATTCTACAAAAAAAAATGCCATAAATCACTGCAAATGTATCTAGCAAAAATAGCTCCCCTAACGAACAATTCAATATGCATATGCAACAATGGAATTAAGCAACCGCACACCGCACACACACACACACACACACACACACACACACACACACACACACACACACACACACACACACACACACACACACACACACACACACACACATACACACACACACACACACGCACACACACACATGAATATAAATTTAAATTTTCATAAAAGTAGCAGGATATAATTAAGTCTTCTTAGATAGATGAGCTATTGATGTCGACGATAAAGAAATATACTACATAATACATAAACATTGTGTGTTTCTGGTATATACACAAACATGTGTGTGTGTGTGAGTGTGTGTGTGTGTGTGTGTGTGTGTGTGTGTGTGTGTGTGTGTGTGTGCATGAATTGGTATATGTTTGTGTGCGTGTATTATGTATTTATAGATGAATGAATGAATGAATATGTACTTACAGACGATAAAAAATGGGAATGAAGATTAAATGAATAAATTATTATAAAGCGACTGAAAAATTGAAGCAGAGTTACGTAATATATAAAAAGATCAATAATGGTGACAGAATAAATAAAAATAACGACAAAAACAGCAATAGCAAAATAATAATAATAACAATAATAATAATAGTAATAAAAATAGTAAAAACACATCCCAAGTGGTTCGCTGTCCGCAAAATTAATCAAACAAATGCAACATATGCCTAATGAAATAATGTGACCGTAATATATTTGTTATATATATGTATATTTATTGTATGTATGTCTTTGTGTGTGTGTGTTTGTGTGTGTTGTGTGTGTTATGCACATTATTCATGCGTTTTTGTGCAATTTGCATGTAATGGGTAACATTAGTTTTGTTCTTTTTTTCTTAATTTTTACCAATCACATCCTAAGAACAAAAAGGTGTCTGTGTGTGCGTGTATATACGTTAACGTGTGTGTGTGTGTGTGTGTTACGTGCATGTGACACACGCACATTGGTATAACTGGTATCTCTAGATCATTTGTAGCGTAAAACATTTTAGATCCAAAAAACATTTCAAATAAAGGACATTTTTTACTGATTTAATGTGAATCAGCGCGCCACACACGTGGCATGCAGTGGTAGATTGGGATCTCTTGCATTTGAATCCAGTCACTGTAACAGCAGGAGCAGTCACCTTAACCACCACACCATCCCACAGCCCAACTTTTAAATGTAATATATTTCACCATTTATAGAGTTTTGAGTTAAATATGAAAAATGACTAATTTCTATTTCATCTAAAATGTGTCATTCCTTTACTTAATTAGCACCTAATACGGTTTCATCTAATTGGTTATTAAAATTTGAACCACAAATTTTAATTGATTGCTCCCAGCTTAGTTATTGCATCGAGATAATTAACGTGCAATCTATTTAATGCATGCATACGTATTAAGTTACACAATATATACACAAACTCTCTCTCTCTCTCTCTCTCTCTCTCTCTCTCTCTCTCTCTCTCTCTTCCTACATACATATATATTTTAATGTTTGGGTGTGTCGGAGAGTGATGTATAGCATAGTGTTAAATTAAATTTACGATAGTAAAGGTAGCTACGGTATGGCGATACTTCAAAAAAGTAATTATAAATACAAAAGAAGAGTATGTGCCTCGTTCAGATGTTGCCAACTCCGATGATAACACATAACTGTATGTTTGTAGGTGTTGTTAGTGTTGTTGTTGTTGTATCTTGTGTTTTGTGTCTTGTATCTTGTGTCATTTTTTTTATATCTTGTATCATTTATGTTGTATTGTGTATTGTGTATACTGTATCTTGTATTTTGTATTGTGTAGGTTCATATTTGAGTGTTGTTGTTTTTTTTACATGTTCATGTTGTTGGTTGATCTGGAAGTTATTTTTGTTTCAATATTATCATGTTGTTGTGTATGTTGTAAATATTGCACGTAAAATTGTTGTCTTTATATAGATTGAATATTAAATTCGGTAGGTTGCATGTTGCATGTTGCAAGTTGCAGGTCGTATGTTGATCTCGAGTGCTGTTGACATTACATTACGAAGTTTCTGCCGATGAAGCTAACGTTGCGAGGCGTTTCACTTTAGAGGAGCGAGCTTCTACGGTTGTTGTCATTAGACTAGGCAGGCGCTTGCAGGGTGTAAATTAAAATTCTTCAGATGAAATATGACCGATCAATTTGAGACGCTAGAAGGCAGCACATTCTCTATAATTTAATACAACGTAATGTAATTTAATACAACGTAATGTAATTTAATACAACGTAATGTCAT